CCCCAATGTCACGTAATCCTGTTCTCATGTATCCACAGAATTCTACGCTTAAGTGTAGAATTCTGTGCATGTATCTCAACAAAGTCACTCCAGTTTTACATTCGAAAACCTATACAGCTTTAAAACTCAAAATAGAATTGCTGAGAGTGTTATTACACAGTGTTAGCAAATTGCCAAAAATAAATAAATGTGATTTGAGTTAAAAATAGTATTGGCCTGTAGACTGGACTCAAGGAATTGTTTACATTTTATAATCTCATATGGAAATTTAAAAAGTCGGAATATTATTGTATACTGTTACTGTAAACAACATGGCGGGTCCAAACAAACGATTCCGCATTCCCACTCTCCAAGAAATAGAGAAAAAAGATCCCGTAAGCGCATATCTGTTGAGTCCCTATTTATAATCTTCTGCTGTATTCCAAACATGTCAAGTGTATTTTCTGACTTTTGCCTGTATCTGGTACATTCAACTTCAACACACAGACTGAGGACAGTCGGACAGTGAGTCAGTGAGGTCGAGGACCAGGAGGAAATGTGGGGCTTGATGTCTTGATCTAGATCTAGATCTAGGTCTAGATTCTAGATAATAATATCTAGATTTCTAGATCTAGATCAAGTTGGCACTTCTTTGGGCTGGCGTCTTTGTGGGCCTCTAAACTTCAGAGGGTATCATCAGCGAAGATGAAATTCATGTTTTATCAAACGAAGTGACTATTCGGACTCTAGATCTAGATCTAGACCTAGATCTAGTCCGAATATGAAAAAATGCTATTCGGACTCTGATTCTTGTCCAGCATGACATCACTTCCGACTTCCAACTTCCTGTGACTCGTGACTCCAGCTTCCTATCCTGCCTCACTCGTGACTCGCCTCAGGCTGGGTAGAGACCGGGATCACTTCGGGCAAAATGACGTTTTGACGTTTTGTGCTGGAGCCGAGTTTTTTTATGATGAATTTGAGGCCGGCCTGAAATATTATAGCGCTTCTAATAAATGTTTATTTGTCAAGAGGTCATCAGAAGCAATTAAAGAAGGCTCGTTAGCGTGTGTCGGGGTCGGATGGGCAGCCTGCACACGTGTGGCTGTGTCGGGGAGGGGGGGGGCACTATGGGTCCGGGCGTTGAATGTTGCATACGCGTCAGTCTTTTTTCCCCCGGCAACTGATCATTATTAGAATAATAAGCTAGTCTTGACGTAGATCTACGTAATGAATGGTGCTCTAGTCTATGGAATCAAAAGTTGCTGTATGCTCAGCTCTACACAGCAACACAACTTTTTCTAGGTAAACAATCGAGATGACACAGGCTTTTGTGTATTTGAACGAATCAGTCTTCTTTGTTTGGTAGCGTCAATTGCCACCGAGTGACGCGGTGGTAATTAACATAAATCGGGGGACGGGGGTCAGGAAAAGACACACACACACAGACGGACAGAGAGGCGAACGCACAACACCGAGCACTAGAGCACAATAAGCTAGATCTACCCACCAACGCAAAAGAGCTCCAATTTACTCGGTGGCAATTGACAAAAAAGTCCATTTTTGTCAATTGCCACCGCGTCATTTGGTGGCAATTGACACTACTTTTTTTTTTTACCCAACTCATAATATGCAGGTGCCAGGTGGTCTGCTAATCTTCAATTTTACCTTTTTCTACAACAAAGAAAGTGGAAAACATGGGCAGGGGGCGTATCAATGAGGCGGCGGGCATCGGATCGGCAGAAAAGGTGTGGGGGAAACTAAAAAATGGCGGAAAATTGGAAGCACCGAACGCTAGATCTATAGAACGAAGACACTTCCTTTTTTTCCGGACCCGAGTCCGAATAACATTTTTTTCATATTCGGACTCGAGTCCGAATAAGAAATTTTTTTATTCGGACTCGAGTCCGAATATGAAAAAATTTTATTCGGACTCGAGTCAAATGGCCACCTCTATTCTCACCCCGGGTGAGAATAGCGCAGGCGAGTATTTTGGCTATTCTCACCCGTTGTGCGTTCACCGTTATAGCCTAGATCTAGGCCGACCAATTTTGTGTTCTCCCTGAACCACAGAATTCTACACTGTAATAACAGAAAAATTGTAGAATTCTGTGCCGTAAACAAACGTTCCATTACTACTGTTAGCCTAAAATTAAAAGCGTACCATTTTTTTGTTGGCAGTGGAGAAAGAGAGAGAGAGAGGAGTAGCGCGAGAACTTCCGGGCAAAACAAAATGGCAACCCACGTAGTTCGGCTCGATTTGAAAAGTTAAATAGCTGTAGCATCTTTGTAGTCTGCCAAATTAATTTACTTTTGTGTTTTAACATCGATTTTTAACTTTGTTTTGGTCAATTTGATCGTCCACACCAATAGACAGTATTCAGAAAGAGACTGAGAGAGAGAAGAGGGGAGGAGTAGATCTTGCGAGAACTTCCGGGCAAAACAAAATGGCGACCCTCGTAGTTCGGCTTGATTCGAAAAGTGAAAAAGCCATAGCATCTTTGTAGACGATCAAATTAGCTTACTTTTGTGCTAGATCTAATTTTTTCTTTGCTTTTATCCATTTGATCATCCACACCGATAGAAAGTATTCTGAAATTAGGAAAAACAGGTCTTGTTTCACACCGGATGAGAATAGCCAACGGTGGCAAGTCTCACCCGGGGTGAGAGGTCGATCATATTTTTATTCACACCCCGGGTGAGGATAGCCACTTCCTTATCAAATTCCGCTGCATTGCCCACATACCAAACAAAGGAAACTTGAAATTGATCAAAATCAAGATATCCAGCTGAAACAGAGGGGTAGTCTACCTCAAAGAAAAAGTGCTCATTGTGCACAAATTTTGAGAACCTTTCTCTTCGGTCTAGTTAGCTTTAGTGCCTTAGTAGTGGTAGAATCTAGTAGGGCCAGAGACCCAAACTTTTGATCTTTTGGATTTTGTATTTCTTGCTGAGTTTAAGAAAAGCTACTTCAGTGATTCCTAGATAAATGTAGTCTTCAGAAATCAACGCAATAAGTAATTATGACATAATTATTGACATGCAGCATCTGTGTGCATAGGTGGTTATCAGGGTCATCAGGTTTGACATCTGAGCCTACGTGGGAGTGTGCAAGTATTCGAGTCCAATAAGTGACTGCTTCATAGCCTACTTAACTCATTCGCTATGCCGAGCCGTGGGGGGCGGCGCGGCGCGGCTAAAGTGCCGTCAGTACGCTAAGCCGCCCCCGGAGACTCGAGAACCGATCTTCAATTTTAGCTTAGATTCTATTCCAATCCACATTGCATGTTAAAATAAAGGTAATATATAATGTTGGCTTCTGGGTCAAGCATTTCCACTGAAAATCAGAAATTTAGATTCAGTTTTGAAACGCAATTTCGTAGTTTATTCGACTTTGTTTTATCATGATGCCAAAATTATAGCCCGGACACCAATCTTAGTAATTTTACACAAACAACAAAATCTATCATTATTTTGCCCACTAAAGAAATGTAGGACTCTTTTTTATAATATATTGATACGATTGGACTCATATTGCCAATGCACTGTTATTGAGAAATTAGTATTTTTGAGTGCTAGATCTAGGTCTAGAATCTAGTTCTAAATTGTCAAAATATTTTTTTCTCCCCAAAATTACTACTTTTTGATGAAATTACACAAAAAGTGCCACTCTAGACATGTATAGGTTTATTCCAAATGCAATTCTGAATAATTCCATATACCGGTAAGATTCGAGTGGGTTTTCTTCTGTTTGTGATCGTTTTTCAAGATTTAAAAAAAAAAATTTTTTTTTTCAATATCAGATGTTATGTTCAGAATGTACAAATATTATGGAATGTAGGTAAATAACTGCAAACTTTTCAATATTTTCATTTATAGTTATTTTGATGTACCATTTGACTAGGTGCAAACATATTTTTTTAGTTTCACCAAAGATTATTAATTTTGTATTTTCAAATTTTATCTGCATCTAATCAAAATTGTGTTGCATAATCGTCTCTTACAGGAACCAAAGTTGAAAAATACATAAATAAACATTACAGATGTATTCTACAAACCTTACTGAAAATATTGGTATATAATACGTTGATATTTATTTGAATTTGTGGCCCCAAAGACCTTTTAACTGTCCACTAGTCATCATCTCATTCGCCCTCCCGAAAAAAAATTTGTCCACAAGCCGAAAATAATATGTAGCGAATGAATTAAGGCATGTCAAATTTCTTTTGCCAATAGGCCTAATTTGTTCATGTTTGTGAATCAGATGAATGAATGTCACGAACCATGTATTTTGTCCCTGGAAATGGAGAAACTACCTCGAGTTCAACTGATGAATTTTTTTAAGCTCTAAGATAAAAAGTAACTTTTTGTCATCCTATGGTTGTGTCATACTGTGATTTTTTTTTTTCAGACTGGAGAACCCTCAATAAAGGTTCCTAAAGTTAGCCAAAGTGAGAATGGGTCAGCCAACAATATTCCTGCTGCCAAAACAAAGGACCACATGGAAAATATCTCAACTGTCAGAGTTTCAGCTGATATAAGGCAAAGTGCGGGCGACTCTGAAAAGTCACCAGCTGTTTCTAATCAAGAGACAGGAGGCAGGAAAATAGCATCAGATGAGGATGCTGAGGAACAATTGTCTACAATGTATGTTTGTTGTTCTTTAAAATTTCTTTAAAAATGCAAGTGTGTATTTTGGTTCGTGTCCTTTATTTTTGTGGTTTCTCTTGTGTGTAATCTTTGATAATTTGCTGTTGTGCTGGGTATGTTCACGGAGGGCCACAGGAGAGTCCCCCCTCCGAGAGTAATTTTTTTCGGAGTTGCTTGTCACCCGATCTGGGGTGGCAAGCGTTTGCTACTCGAATGAATTTGTTCGATTAGCCTGGCGCTACTGGCCCATGGCAATTTCTGCGCATGTTCCGGGTGAACGAATTCGGTCAGTTAGCCTGCGGCTACTGGCCCGTGGGGATTTTTGCGCATGTTACGTGTTCTGGCCCGTGGGATTTCTGCGCATGCTCCGTTAAATCGCGTGATCAATGGCACAAGATTCAGTCACTCAGTTACAATGGCATTCACTGGATCTTTGACACCAAATATGATTGGATTTCCATTCTCTTTCTCCCTGAATACATCTACAAAGAGAACAGTACCTCAGAAAGACGAACTTTTAGGAAAGGCTCATCTATAGATATCTAATAATCTTGTCAGATTGTTACTGGTTACATTTCTTACTTGAAAGTTTGACTCTGACTGCAATAATCTGACCAAATTGACATTATTATTACACAATGATGTATGAAGATGGGACTGGCCATAATGTGTAGCAGCCTACAATAATGACTGTATTGCACCGTGTTAGGTTGTGAACTGACTCAGAGAGAAAATGACAGGGATAAGTAATTTAATTCTTATAACAATACCCCCCCCCCTTCTCCCTCTCTCTCTTTCTCTCACTCTCTTCCTCCCCCCCCCCCCCTTCTCCCTCTCTCTCTTTCTCTCACTCTCTTTCTGCCCCCCCCCCTCCCTCTCTCTCTTTCTTACTCTCTCTGCCCGCCGACAAAATTTCTCACTTTCAACGTCAACTCAGCTCTGGAACGTTTGTTTACACTCGTATCACGGACCGTCACGCGCTAAGACGACGTAGAATTAGCGCCAAAGTCTCATTCGGATGCTAGATAGGGCATTTGAAACATCTTGGTAGTAGTTAGACAGTCTTTGATAACATCAAGACGCTGCATTTCTATTGTCAGTAACTTTGTCACCGGCATTCCGATGAATAATAATAAGTAAGTAAGTAATAAAGGTGGCAGATCTAGGGGATCTAGTCAACTTGCTAGGGAAACCTCGGAAGACGACAAAAATAGATGACGCAAAAACATCATCTATGATCTACTTTGGGCCAATTACAGAGGTGTGCTAGGTGCTTTGAATAGCTTCATGTCGCTCGGAAGGCTGTGAGGCCGTGTTTACACTACCTAAGACTAAGACTAGATCTAGGTGACCTACTCCGCGGGAGTAGAAAAATGCTAGCCACCCGAGGTAGGTCGCAGAAATCCCCACGGGCCAGTAGCGTCAGGCTAATCGACCGAATTCAGTCGAGTAGAAAAACGCAAACCACCTTAGACTAGCACCGGCCAATTTTTTTTTTCTCTCAAAACTGGATAACTATTGCATTCTTATTGCTCTTCCTTTGAACTGAGATAATCTCTGTGTGTTTTAAGGGAGTGAAAAGTAATTGAGTTGTAAGATGCTAGAAATAATGTTGCTTTTTTTTAACTTAATAGAGACGAGATAAATTGTCACGTTTTATATATATGCCTATTTATAAAGTGTTCCCTTCATTTGTTTCTTACCTGCCTTACTAGTGATAGCATATTTAATCTTTTTTTAAAATTTATAGACCACCTGCGGCCACAAAGTCATCAAGCTCTCTCATTGTTAATCCACGACAGGTAAGTTTATCTGTTGTGTAATGTTTTGTTAATGCAAACTTGACTTACCTCACATGATTCTTTTCCTGCTCATATTGCAAGAAGTATGGCCGTACACCTATGTCCATTCCTGTACTCTTTGCGAGATCAATTCTAAACATTCAAAAGCGACTCTAATTCACTGAGTAAGTTGCGAGAAAAGCCACAACAAATATCATTTATAATCTGGTGATCGAAATTTTACCTGAGATCTTATTTGTGAGAAGTAGTTTTTGTGTCTCTAATTGTTTTGGAAACCCACCTCAACCCATCTGTAATGTTTTCCTATTGTCACTAAATTCGATGTTCATTATGATGTCCAGACAAATGTGCTCTGTTTAGAGATTTTTTAAGATAGTATCGACAACTTCAACAAGAATATCAAAGTATGCAGCTCTGAGTCTGATGTAGATTCAGAGTTCACAGTAGTGAATTATCTGAGAATAACATGTAGGATGTGAAACACCAGGACCAAGTACAAGTACTGGCAATCACCTAGTGGGACCAATGGGCTGTGCTAGATCTATGTTTAGTATTAGAGTTAATCCTACGATATAACTGGCCCTCCGGGAAATCGCGGCCGCGTTTTTCGTCGAGTTCCGCAATAAACCTGCAATTTTTTGCAATTTTCGCAATTTCTTGCAATTTTAGGCAAAAATACACCAACGCTTTAGTTTTAACAGAATTTTTATACGAAATGGTGCGGGTACAGAGCCGATAGGCCTACGTAAATCATGGTACATGTATCGGCCCAGCTCAAGCTTACTTACCGTACTCTAAAAGCTATAGGCCTACATGTAACCGGAAATTCAGGCCGGAATGCATCATGTACAACACGAACTGAGACATAGGCTAGGCCGAGAAGGTGGCCTTCTCTGGACTAGGCCTCTATCTAATGTGTGTAAGCGTGCACGTGTGATAAGAAAGTAGGTGTGTGCGTGTGTGAGGTGTACGTGAGTGTGTGTGCGCGCGTGAATATTGTTCGAACAAGATGCACGTGTCTACATACACGATAACCGGGCACCTAGTCTCAGTATCTACGTACACGGTAACCCACCGGAATGAAAATTAACCAATATTAATTTGTCCTGTGCTGTCACTTGTTGAAATAAAAAAAGAAAGTTATACACGCGTCTTGTCGGGCTCGCCATCATTACCGCTCAGTGAACCTGTGCTTTCGCATCACATTATGAGTACCGGTTGGGGTCACCAAAGTTCATTCAAAGTCTGTGCACTACGAAGTACAGGGCTCCGGAATGGGGGAATTATTGATTTTTTTTTTTAATGTACAGTCGGGGAGGGCTGGAGTTGAAGGTGACACCGTTTGACAAAAACTGAACTTGGAGTTCTGAACTGCCCGGTTACCGAGTACGAGACACTGAGACTACGTGCCTGGTTGCCGGTTACCGATTGGAGCATAAGCTTATTTTGTATTTAGAGGTTGTTTCGAAAATCTCTCGTCAATAATTTTGTTTTTTTATAGACTAAACCTCATACACTTTTAGATTTTTGCATGAACCAAGTACCCGGTATGTACTAAATTTGGTCAAATTGTATGCCTTCATTTAAAAGTTATTACGAAAACCGAGGGTTCCGTTATTTTGTGTCACGAGTTATCATGTTATATTTGGTCGATAACTTTATTGTTAACGTTTTCGTGTGTTGTTACTAGTAAATTATGTTGTTAATAACATTTGATGAATTTGTATTGTTTGTCATGATTTTTTTAAAGGCTGTGTTGCTTTTATGTTACCGGTACTCGAAATTGTCATGTTTTTTTAACTAAAAATGTTAAGCCCGTATTAATGCCCCTGGGATGGGAAGGTTGCAATTTTTTGCAATTATTAGGCAGTTTACCTTGCAATTTTTTGCAATTTTTCTATTTTCAAAAATGCAATTTTCCGTGGGGCCAGATATAAGCAGAACAAAAAATAATAACATTAGAGAACCTGACCCTATATTACGAGAGCAGGAACTATGAATAGATTTAGGTGGCATTTTGTGACTAAATAAAGCATTAGATCTTGTGCAAGACAGCCTAGCAAGACAAAATGTGCAAAGGGATAGAAGACACCAATCATCGCTATGTAGTTTGTGACATTCGGCTCTACATTAAACCATCCTTTAAAGAAGATCTACTCAGAAATGAACTACGTTTCTGCTTCAAAGAACTTGAAGAATGTATGTGCTTGGCTGATTTTGTTTTCAATTACACTCAAATCCAGCATTTTTTCTGTATTTACTGCACCTCTGTTTGGACAAGTAGAGCTACTCAAGTCGGCACATGTTAAAATTGTCTCCATTTTTTTAAAGGTCACCAAACAAAAACTATAAGAGGATTTTTTGTCATTTTTTGTGACACTGAAATCTGCTGTTTCTATTGTTTCTGTTAGAGAACGAGGAAGAAGAAGAAGAAGAATTGTTTCTGTTGTGTAAATATGGTGCTTAAGATGTTTATGATGAAATTTTTGTGAATTTTTTAACACTTTGCAGTCACACAGCAAGCAGTACGTAATACCCCATCTGGTCGCCCAACCAGGAGAGTGACTGCAACAAACTTTTCGGGCCTGGCTCATAAGTGCGCCAGGTGACAGGAACGGAAAATTTTTACCTGCGCCTTATTGGGCCAAGTGACTGCAAAGTGTTAATAGTTAGTGTTTAATCTTTTTTTGTGTACAGTCAAAGTTCTTGTTTAAGAATCCAATGTGATGAATTGTGGGGGTTTTCTTAAACCACTCATATGTGTAATCTGAATTGAAGATCTACATGTCTTAAGAAGAATAGGATTAGGAATAGCACCCCCTTGCACATCAGCTGTTCCGGTTTGCTCAGTGTGGAGTTTTGGGTTTATTTTATTTTAATGACCTCTCACTCTAAAGTCAAATTAAACGACGAAAACAGCCGCCCCTTCCACCTGAAGAGGATTTTTGTCAGTGTAACCATTTTAAAAAGGTGTTTTTCTGAATTTTTTATTCTAATTGATACAAAAACTTGTTAGTTTCACTTTGATTTTTTTCCACCCAAGTAGAGTAACTCTGTTCGCAAAACGGGCGCTTTTCCTAAGAGGGCGCCATCGGATTTTGAGGACACTTTTTTAATTGGTTCAAAGAGAGGAGTGAACCATCTGGTATGTACGATCTTTGGTATTAGTAATGGATTCACTGTCAATTCTGTTCACAGAGGGGAAATCCAATCCTGAAATCTGTTCGCAACATAACTTGGGAATATGGCAATATCATCCCCGACTATGTGATGGGCCAAGCAAATTGTGCAATTTTCTTGAGGTAAAAGCAATTCTGAAATAATCCGTGTTTCAATTTGAGGGACGAAATTTTTCAGTACATTTCCAGATTCCCATTTTTATGAAAAATAGTGTAGTTACAGAGTAGCCTACAGAAGAAAACAGTTGGAATGGGGTGAAAAATACTGGTACTTCAGTCCTGGAATAGTTTTCTACTTCGAAAAAAATCAAATTTAGGCCACTGTCATTCATGTATCCATTCGGAGTTACAAGCTGATCACAAGCAGTAATGTGCCTTATGATGTACCTGGTAAAAGTAAAGTTGTTCCCACATCCGATCCGGACATTGGGAATTGCCTTGTTAGTGAGACAACTTCCTGTGCCTGGTATGTCATGAAAATGTGTAATTTTTAGCTTTGTATTGTACCATGAGCATCACAGCTAACCATCTCGCTCTGATTCTTCTGCAAGGAGTTAAGCCACAAGCAGAGCACCAGTTCACATTAGTGAATAAAAAGTGTGCCTTATGATGTACCTGGTAAAAGTAAAGTTGTTCCCACATCCAATCCGGACATTGGGAATTGCCTTGTTAGTGAGACAACTTCCTGTGCCTGGTATGTCATGAAAATGTGTAATTTTTAGCTTTGTATTGTACCATGAGCATCACAGCTAACCATCTCGCTCTGATTCTTCTGCAAGGAGTTAAGCCACAAGCACAGCACCAGTTCACATTAGTGAATAAAAAGTGTGCATATTGGTACCAAATTTTTTAGCATTAGTTTACTGCTAGGCTTTCAAGCAAACAATAAACACAAAAACGTTGACACCAAATTGACTTTTAAAAGGCAGCAAATTTCATTTTTTCAAACTTAGATATGTGCAAGTATTTTAAACCATGTGTACAATGGGGGAAAAAAAGAGAATGAGGAAAATGACACTATCAAAGACCTGGGATCCAAATCATGAAATGTCATGTGTGGGCTAGATCTATACAGCAAATCCACTGACACTGAGACATGACACTGCTGTCCTGGTTAATGATCTTAGTGAAGAATCAGTGTCAACTATAGGAATGCACACCCCCTGGTAACAAAGGGGTTGGTTCGTAGGAGTGTGATTTGTTCTAAATTGTTTCAGCTGTAGGAGGATTTCACATGGGTGTGACCTTGAACTCATTTACATTTTCATTTTTAGGAGGTGACATACCATTTCCATCTCTGCATTTTACTTTTGTCATATTGTTGAATTTTCTTTCTTTGATTTTTGTTTATTTCTAAATCTGAATGTCAGCATTAAAGTTTAAATTATATTCTAGTTCTCAAAATGTCTGTGTTTTCTTTTGCAATAATAAAAATAGTTCTTGTTTTATTTTTAGGGCCCCTGTCTTCTCATAACACTTTTTACTAGGAAAAATGTCCAGAAACGTAAGAGTTCTCAAAATGTGGGAATAAGAAAATAATTTTAATTATTTAGCCCAGTCTTGTCGCATTATTTAATTTCTTTATTGCTAAATTCTCTCAATTTCTTTCTTTTCATTCAGCCTCCGGTATCACCAGCTCCACCCAAACTATATACATGAGAGATTGAAGAATCTAGGCCGGAGCTATGATCTCAGGGTGATGTTAGTCCAAGTTGATGTTGTAAGTGCAGTCTTTACTTTGTCCGTTATTTTGTTTTATTCTGTCTTGTTGATCATTTCTTTGGCTTTTATACAAACTTTTTTTTGGTTGAGAAGAAGAAATAGTTTCAGAATTGTTGATCTAACCATTCACATTCAGTAGAATTATGGATGTCATGAAAAGATCGGTGTCTTAATGAAGAGATGGTGTGGTCAAATATTAAGATTAAATCTCTATGAACTAAGAGATGCAAAAAGATTTATTACGACCTTGAGTTCTCTCCATGACAGTCTTACCCCTTTGGGTATGTAAAAGTAGAGTTTGTATTTTTGAAAAATGTTTATTATAAACTCCTTGTGTTTCATGCTGCTAAAAACGTTTTTCATCCTAAGCTTGTGCAACTTCTCTTTAGACTTAGCTTTTATTTTAGACAGAAAGACATAAATTTGGGGGGCTGACCATTGTTTATTCTTATTGATGGCTGTGAATGTAAACTGATCTCACCACTTTATATGAACAGAAAGACCCACAGTTTCTTCTGAAAGACTTGGCCAAGATTTGCATACTTGCAGACTGCACCTTAGTTTTAGCTTTCAGGTAAGTGAACTTGCTTTCTTTTGAAATGAATGAACAGTCAAACCTGCTTTAATGGCCACCTGTCCAAGACAGTCACCTGTCTCAACAACCACTTCTCACTTTTCCCCCTTCTCTTTTTGGTTTATTATAATGTCACTGTCCTAGAGGTCAATCTGTCTGAGACAACTGCATTTTTCCTTGCCAGTAAGGGGCCGGCTTTGACAATTTAGACTATATATTTTTATAAATTTAAAAGCAGTTTTTGTTACTGTGTAAATTTTTTTTTTATCAGCTGTACTAAGCTTGCCCATCTCAGGAAGTGTAAGAATCCTTCCAACAAAGAGATAACAAAGTGTTTCAAACATAACTTTTCATTCGTTCAAAATAATACAGTCGGGCATGGATAACTCAAACACGTTAGGGATTGACAATTGTGTTTAACACATCCCTAATTCAGGTAAAGCGATAAAATGAAAAATGACAGATACTGAAGAAAATCAAGGGAAGTAGCTGTGATGGTACAGCAGTTGGGAAAATTAATCACTGGAATGGAAACACTGCAGCAGATTCACAGCACATGACTTTTTGAGTGATGCTGTGTCTCTTTTTGAACTTGTCCAGCCATTGTTGTATATGAGGTCAAGGCCAAGTTCCTGTGCAATTTAGTCTGCTTTTGTCATCGGGGTCAGAGGTAGGACAGGACTTGAAGTGTGTTTGCTAGAACTAATGAAACAGTGCCAGCGTAATGTCTCAGATTTGACGAAGCCCACTCGCTTTCTATTAGGTTTATATCCAATTCTGGTGTTTTCAATTTTTTTTTCGATTTTTGTAGAATTGTAGAAAGGGTAGGTTTAAGGATACTAAATCTCATCCAAATTTTCGTCTAAATGCAGGACTTCTTGTCAACCTCTCTTGCCAGACAAGTGTTTTTCTTCTTTGCTATCATGAAAAGTACCCAGTATGGATAGAAAGACAGAAGGGTCTGTACTACATGCACCTTGTTCAGTGTAGAAGAGAAAGGGAGAGCTCTTACGTTAGATCACGATCATGACAACCATGCCGATGTCACCAACTCTGGGTAGAGCATGCCGCGCTGCTCCCCCATGTTGACTCTTTGCAATACCTTTCCCAGTCCAAACTTTCTTGTTTAAACAGCCACACACGCAAACATAATTCCCACATCATACGCCTTAACGCAGCCCCACAGTCTGTCTCAGATCACACCCCTCCACTCAGCTTCCACTCTCACATGACAAGATTTTTAAAATTTATTGTACTTGCATGTATAATTTTACTTTCCAAATACTTTAACCACTTGCAAATTTTGTCCCCTCTTTGCAGATCTTCTATACTTTTTAAAAATCCCATGTTGTTGTATTTTATATTTATAGCTTTGTAACCTATTTAAGGAAATTGAAAGGTTATAACAAATACCAGAAGCAACAGCGATCCTGGAATGGGATCCTATAAATTGATGATTATATTCCGCTACTGAGCACATTGTCTTGTCTTTCATCAGCTAATTTCTCATATATGTTAGATGCCAAGACATGTCCGAAAATCAAATTCAAAAGCTTTCTGTGGGCTTTCTCATCATTGGCTCCTTCTTACTGCTGTCTTTTAGCCACACCCCTGATATTATGGTAAGTAAGATCAAACATCTAGCCCTCTCGGATAAGGTTGAAAAATCTTGGAGGTCCTGTGTGCAAGTTGCGCATGGTAAAGATCCCTTGGTGGTCAAAAAGGGGTAAGAGTAGGCTTTGGCCGGCATCCGCGCAAAATCCAAAATATCCTACCTACTGAAAATGTTAAATGTGTCCCGCTCGCTCATATGACCTTATGCAGTTGAGAGTGCCGTAAAACACTTACCCAAAAAAAGACATTACAGTTGTTGGCACTCACAATGGCAATGGAGAAACTTCTAACGTAATTCAAAACAGGTTGGAAGGAGCTTATTGAAGTAGAAGAACATTCAAGCAACAAATGATTAGAACAATGAAATTTTGAACAGTTCTTCAGTGTGCGATAGAAGCTCTGAAGGGAAAGATTGTGCACAGAATGTGAAAAAAAAAGGGTGTGAAAAATAGGAAAAGGAGACGCCAAGGAGAGCAACCCAGAAATAGTCGCGCTACAGAGTCCTACACATATAATAACAACAGGTAATGTGAAACACTTCTGAATGAACATGTCCTTGTGGTTTCTTTTGATAGTGCGGAGGAAGCAGGGCGTTATCTGGAAACATACAAGATATTTGAGAACAAGCCACCTGAAGCAATCATGGAAAAGACAGAAGAAGGTTTTATGTCAAAGGTGAGTTGTAGAAATTGTTCAGTTTGACAGAAAGGGTAAGGTTAATAACAGTCGGGCTCAGATAGCATGAACATGGTAAACTTGAAATCAGGGATAGCTCATACAATTTGTAAAGGCAACACTGCTTTCTCAAACACCCCTACAGATATATGTCAAAAGCTTATCTTAAAAAAAAAAACCAATAAAATTTTTCTCATAGCTGTCATGGATCTAAATCACCCTGCCGGCGCAAAGCAAAACAGCAGACTTTGGGTCAACAAGAGTATCATGTTACATGAGCCCACCAAGCTTGCCCCCATACAACATGATACACACGCCTGCTGGCTTTTAGAAACATCATCGCACATTACCTGTACTGTGTGTAAAGTGCTAGATCTTCCTTCAATCTAGCCTAGTCATGTGAGGGTGGATGCAGGATATATCATATAGTTTGTAATGCCATATCTGCTTACATAACTATAGCCTCTAAGTTTCGAATGCATGAAAGCTTGTCAAATGCAATGAATGAAGATTACCTTGGCGGCTTATGCCATAGACAAGCCACATTACTGAGTAGGCCTAAAATGATTTTTCAAGCTGACTTTTTCCCTTTTTGGACCACGGCGGGCTGGGAAGGTAAAACAACTTTCTTTGTATAAGGTTCTGCTGTAGCCACAGAATTCTACACTTATAGAATGGGAACTGTACCACGTGACCTGTGAGGAATTGAAGACCGAAAACAATGGCGTCTTGAGGGCACGATTTATCGTTTTCGGAAGTAACCCTATAGCTTTTAAAGCAAGAGCGGCTTTTACAAACGAGTGAAAAGTGGAACATTTACTGTCCAGTTTGTAATTTTGAGTTACAGAATTCACTGTGCAACTAGAGATTGGAATCAAGGTTTTAAATTGTTGTGTTTTTGGGTGCAACAACAGAAAAAGCAGACATAGAGAGTTTATAAATATAAGATCTACAGAACTGTGAAAAAATTCGTAACACGGATGGGATTGTTCACAGCACTTCTAGCTTCCCACACACATTTTGCATACGCATATGGCCTACGTAATTTTTAGTAGCAAAACTTGTTACAAGAAATTTATTTTACACTGAACATATTTTTTCACTAGATCTAATAATGTTCCCAAAACATGCGTTCAATAATTAGCTTTATGTCGCCAGCAGAAGTAGAAAAAAGGACGGACTTGCTTTTAAAAGAGATTTAGCTCCAGCTATAAACTTTTTAAAAATCTGTAGAAACCATTGACTGGGATTTTTTTTTTTTTATATTGGGCCAGTATTTATTAAAGAATTTTCTGTAAAGAAATTTCTAGAATAATATAGAACCTATAGATGTGTACTAATGTTTGAAAAAAATACTCTTCGGTTAAGACGAATTGATATAGATCTAAGTCATTGTGTAAAAGAAGGAGAATCTAGATCTAGGTGTTCGATAGTTCAGCAGCCTAGATATTTGATAATAAGTTGCGCATCAAATTTTTGACCGCACACTACAGTAGTAGAGATAGCGTATTATTTTCATCCGAAACATTAATTTCCGCATCCTTTTTGGGCCTTTATAAGCGCATGTAGTCCTACTTTAATTATGTTACTTTCATAATTGTTTTTAAAAGCATTTTCAATTCCTTTCACTTTCACTTCCCACTCGCGGGCACATATAATTATGATTATAATTTAAGATTCCAAATCTGACGAATGTATTATTAAATAGCGTATAATGCTGAGTTAGCCAATGCATTGCAATGCGCGCTATTATCAATTATTGAATTGTAACAAGACTTTAATTTGATCCGTAACAAGAAACCACTTATTTTTTTATACCTGTTCATGAATGTGTGTTTGTTTACTGTGTGCGGGGATTAAAAATTAAAGATTAAAGATTCCAGATCTGAGGAATGTATTTATAAAATAGCGTAATATAAGTGCTGGGTTAGCCGATGCCCTGCGATACACGCTTTTATCAATTAATTGAATTGTAACAGGACTTCGATTGGATCCGTAACAAGACAACACTTATTTTTTCTTATACGGGTTCAAAAATGTGTGTTTGTTTACTGTGTGCGGGGATTAAAAATTAAAGATTAAAGTTTCCAGGTCTTTCGAATGTATTTATTAAATAGCATAGGCCTATAGGGCAGGGGTGGCCAACGCATTGCGATACGTACTTTTATCAATTAATCGAATTGAAACAGGACTTCAATTTGATCCGTAACAAAAGATCACTTATTTTTTCTTATTCGTGTTCAAAAATATGTGTTTGTTTACTGTGAGCGGAGATTACAGGGGGACAAGCCCATCCCCTCGACATGTGATCCAGGGTATGGGGATACATTTTTCTCAAAATGCACACAGCTCTGAAATCCTTGACCAGTGATCACTCGCCATGGAACTCTTTCTGTTGTGACTGTAGACGCAAGTTTCTTCATTATCACATCTGAATGAGCCTTCGGATCATTCATGCATTAGAAATCACACTCCCAACACACAGAAAATGACTTTGAACATATATTCAGGAAACATATATGCCAGTTCCACTCTTGTTTACTTTGTTTTGCATTATTGGCTTTTATGTGTAAACCAATATTTTGAGGCCTTTTCAGCATTTTTGTGTTTTTGGCAGCATGTACAATAGGCCTATGTATTTTATGTGCAACCGACACATTCTCCAATCTCTTGTATTTGTTAGACTCGCACGTGCTTTAAACAAAGCATGTTGTTGTACACACTACTGATGCAAACACAGAGATGAATTCTTAAAGTGAGAAATAATACATTTCCTCAAAACAAGCTCAATTTATTTATCTCTTTCTAGAAAATTGGAGAAAAGGCTTATATTGTTCTTTTTTTGCTTGCTTTGGGTGGCCTTAAGTTTAATGACAATATTATTGTAGTGAGCATGTTACTGTCAGCGTCCCCTTTATCGTAGATCTAGTACTAATCAAGACTAGATCTAGATCTATATCTAGATATTTTGCCAACAGAATTAATGTTCATAATTAGATCTAGCTGTCTCTCTCTCCCCTCCCTCTCTGTCAGTCTGTCTGTCTGTGTTATTATAAAGTGTATTGTGACTGTGAAGATCTTTAGTAGATCTCTAGATCTAGATCTATCTAGATCTAGATCCCATCCCATCATTAAAAAACAACAACAAACCAACAATACAAATACAAAAACATTGTAACATTGCCAATTGTGACATATTGTTGGCAATAAAAATGTACTAGACTATTTCACTATATTTCCTCTTCGAAGAAAGTTTTAAAATACTGATGTAAGGTGTCTTCCAAGCCCTACCACTAGCATCAGCGTGCATAGCAACGCGAAGCCTCGCTGTGCGGCGCAGCCAAAGGTGCCCTCAACAGGCCGCCATGTTTTAGTTTCAATTCCTCACAGCGAATCGGCGATCGCGAAGAGGGAGTTCCGCTTCTATAAGTGTAGAATTCTGTGGCTGTAGCCTACCACTCTTTTCTTTTTTCTTGCTTGGACACTGAACAAGACACACTGCTGGTGTGGAGACATCACACTTTACCTGCAGTCTATTATGTGCAAGTTGTTTCTGTTTTTTTTCGGTAATGTCACTCCTTATTCACAAAAATAAGTGCATATCCGTTTTGTTTTTTAAATGAGGATCTGAATTTTTTCCTTGTGTTGGTTTTTATAATGTTTTATGATATTTTGTTATTTTTCAAAAGTTTGCAGATTGCATCACAAAAGTTAAGTCTGTGAACAAGACTGACTGTGCCACTCTCATATCTCATTTTGGTGTAAGTATATTTGACTATCATACAGTGGAGTCCACATGAATCGATCACAGTTAACCCAAAAAGTAAAGTGAATCCCCAATGTTGTTTTTTTCTTCAAATCTTTGTGTAAAATGCAAACTTGTGCAAACTGAATACAGTCCAACAACATTCCTGTAGATTTCGGTTTAAGTGGACTCTGCTGCAATGCAGAACTTGTCCTGAGTATTGCAGAGAAAGATAAGAACAAACAGTGTTAGGCCCTGTGCCTGAACAGCTATTATAAAGTTTTAAGCAGGCTTTTGCATTGAGTCTCACTTTATGGGCACCTGTGCAAAATCCAAAATATCATTGATAGTCTTTGCCTGGAATCTCTTAATGTATTACTTTGTCTTCTAATGACTTTATTAATTACTGTAGTGATAACCTCCCTTGAATTTTTTTTTTTAATGCCTCAAGTCGATCAAGGTACATATTCTGTTTCAATTCCCATAAAAGGGAGTACTTTGTCAACATCTTGTTTTTGAGCTGGGGTCATTATGTCTCAGCCACTGCACTCAGATTTCACTTGCATATCAAATGGGAAGTTTTTATAAAGTTTAGACTTAACGTTACATTGTGAATCAAAACTATGTTGTTCTTTCATTACTTTTCCAGAGTTTGTCAAACATCATTGAGGCCTCAGAAGAAGACTTTTCTCTGTGTCCTGGTTTTGGACCTCAAAAGGTGAGATTCACTAGCTTGAAATTCTGTGCTTTGTCAGCAAATTTTTTAGTATTGAAACTTTTGAACTTGCATTATTCGTCAAATACTTTTGAACGGCACCTTTTGGTTTGTCATATCTGTAATTAAAGTTATTTGTGTTGGACTGATGTAAGCTTATTGCCAGTCACTATGGTCAGCGGTGCCAATTTTGCAGATAAATATTTTTTTTTATTGTCCAGATTCTACCTGCCTTCAGTCCTGTTGTCACAAAGTCTTGATAAAAAAGATTATTATCAGTTAAGTTTGAGTCCCAATGCACTTCTTTATGGGTTCAAGAAGTGTCTGAATTATTTATAATTTATGATAGCCAGCTGGCTTCTTTGTTATGTTTCGGAATTTAACACATTACAGCCTAAGGGGAAGTCCATTGTTAGATCCTAAGCAAGGGGAAGGAACCCACCTCCCGTGAATACAAGCCTTTAAAAAACACATTTAAAAAATACTAAACAAATTCCAAAAATCCAGAAAAAAATAAAAGTTGAAACGAATAATGAATGTAGTTTCAGAAAAATATAACTTTATGTATGCGCAAACTGTTGGAAATGTTCTTACTTTAGTTCAGTCTGGGTGTCCGACCCGTCACTCTCACTCTCCGCCTCGCGGTTGGGCCCTAGATCTTAATTCTAGATTTTCTACATCTGATCAATCTGAATCGCCCCTGACTCTTGCTACAACGTTTTCATCAAAATCTGAGTTATCTGATTTGTCATATGCTTGTTTTTGCTCAAATCCATTGTTATTTCCTTTTTCGAACTCAATTGTGTTGCTTTTCAACAAGTCGAGGCACTTACGAAGTGTCGGTAAGGCGACCGCACTTCTATCGGCTCTAATACTAAAACTACTGGCCGGAAAAATTTCGTTTCGGTATCAAACGAAAGAATCAACTTTTTGCAATAACTATGCAAATCAAAATCTCGGCCCGTGAGTCTCGTCAAGGCGAGACTTCGTTTCTAAAGACGCTAGGTCGACGCGGGCGGTTCCAGGCGAGTCAGGGTGGAGCGCGTAAGGGAAGTCCCGGGCGAGTTAGGGTGTAATGTGTTATAGTACAAATAATCGACAACTTCAAGCTGTATGCTTTGAAATATCAAAAGTTAAACAATTTATCGTTCTTGTCTTGGCCATGATAGACAGGGTTTATTAACTCGCTCGCTATCAGGCATTTTATGGTTTAACATCTGAAGAATGCTTGGCGTTTTGGTAACTAATTCTAAATATCATTGTGACCTATCATTCACTACCCAACAATGAAACATAGCATACTAAAAGGCAATAAAACACACTGCTCGATGCAAAATAAATTTTTAAGATGTGTTGGATGGGTTTGGTTTAATAGTGTTTTGTAAATGTGTCAATGTTGAACAAATATTTTTTCAGAAAATGAAACTACCAGGTCTTGAATCTTTACTAAGCCATCCATTAACCTCCACTGAACTCTGAATCTTCTACATCATGCATCCAGACATCTTCTTCAGCGCTAGAAAAGATCAAATTCGACCTAGCCTATTGATATATATGGGTCAGTCGTTTTGAAAATGTTGCAAGGTTGTTTTCCATCCCTCCCAAATGCATTGTGGGTTGTCTGGAAAAAAGAAAAGAAATTGTATTCAGTTATCAAGGGATGTAACTTGAACTGCGTAATTGACTCACAAACGACAGCAGGTTCAATTTCTCAAAGACCAAAGATGCATCGGGTAACAGTAGGGATAAAAATAGGAAAAGTAAAACCAAGGGGTTTCGGTAATGGCAATACCCGGACTATCGGTTTTTCTCGGATTTATAGTGTTGGTGTGGTCACGAGTGAGTTAACCCCTTTGTCTATACGCCACATTGAAAGAAGCAAGTAGATAGGTCACAAGGTTGCTAAATGTTAATATGACAACAAAATAAAACTTCAAGTTGGCATGCATTTTCCAACCCCATCTCGTGTCTTCTACTGAATGTAAGACTTGATGTCACCAAATGCACCTCTGGCATAAGCATGGTTGGGTTTTTTAATTCAGGTGTTTTTAAGACCCATCAACACAATTCGGATCATTTAGGAGGTGGACTTTGACCCTGCATGTCAGGGTCAACTGGGGTGAAAGGGACATAACATCCCAGTAGAAAGACTGAAATACATGATAAAAGTCATCCCTAGTCATGAATTTAACTCAATTCTCCTGCATGTGATGGCAAAACAACTAACTGCTACACTACAGATGCCAGTGCTTATGTTTGACAAGTGATTCGTATTAATTGACAGACATGATGTCTATCATCTTAGTTTTGAATTTGAAAATTGTTTAATTCAAATATGTACCTACAATGTTTTATCTAAGCTAAAAGTAACTCTTATTTTTGTCCTCTTTGCAAGGAGATAATAAGAAATGTAACATTTCTTGTATAACAAAATGTGTTTTATTTATGGAAACGGGTTTTAGCGTAGTAAGTTAACAATATTAATACAGGATACCTCGCATCATAAAGTAAACTTATTCAAAATAATGGGTTTTTTATTTCCCCTAACCTAACCATTAGATGAGATTGAAGATGGAAAACTGATATAATGGTTTTTGATGGTCAAATTGTTGGGGTTTTTTAAATCTCTTCACTCAATAAGTAAATTCTATGGTTTCGAATCTAATGCTAATAGTAATACTTGTTATGTATATTTCTCAGGCTCAACGACTTCATGCTTTATTTCATGAACCTTTTCGGAGACAGATCTCAAGAGGTAAGATTTTGATATTCCACACAAAGACTCATTATATAATTTACCAGTGATGGCAATCACAGTGTTCTATTTCGTGTATGGAGCTTTAACGTGGAGACTTTAGCACAGATTTCTCCAATAGATTATTTTCCTTTATCATTCTTTGTTAAAAATTAACAGAATCGCATAATTTCACATTTTTGGGCTCACTTTGCATAACTTCAGAATTTTCCTTGCATAAAACGACGGGGACAGCACGACCTTACGGTTGCGAGTCAGAGAGCCTAACCACTAGGCCACCGACGCCATCCTTCATACCGTCACGTGTCATCACATTATCGGCTCAAAGTGACCCCCACCCCAAAGAGAGGTCACTAGAATATCAAGGCAATGAGTTGAAGATGACTGCGTCCCTTCCTCCCTTTGCAAAGGTTCATAGTTCATGTAAAGGCACGCTCCGTATAAACACACGCATTGGAGCCCTCTCGAGCACCGTGCGTTTAGGCGGAGACTACTGTATGCTCATTGTAAATGTTATGTCCCTTGATTTTGTGACCCTGCTGACCTGAGGAAGGACAGATAAGTTCGTCTTTTTTTCTTCACACCCCTGACCCCTGACTTCATTATTATTAGCCATCTGCATCTGACTGTAGAATCTGATTTTTTTTTTTCTTTCTTCTTTTTATGAAAATTAAAGCAATCTCACTAAACTGAAAACACAGAAGAACCTTCGGCTGTTCCACAAATTTTGGTTTTAAGAAGCAGACTCCACTGTATTTCCATGAGCCCCGACCCCAACAGTCCACATGTTATTCTCATAACACTTATCAAAGGTTTTTTTTTGTACTTTTCAGATGGTCCTGGAAAGAAACTGAGCTGATGCAGAGAATATATATATTATATATACATTCTAGATTTAAAGGCTATTTTAAATAAAGTTATGTTCCAAATGTGAATAAACTGGTGCTATTTCAATGTGACTTCCACTACTTTGTTGTTGTTGTTTTTTGGGGGAGGCCGGTGCTACTCGCCCGATGTCGGAGGACTAGCCCCAGGCTACTCGCCTGATGTAGGGTGGCTAGCATCAGGCCGTGGGGATTTCTGCGACCTCGGGCGGCTAGCATTTTCTGCCCAACCGCAGCCAGTCACCTAGATCTAATCTTAGTCTTATACGGGGTGCTCGCTACAGCTGGATCGGGCCGATCGCCCGACTCTATCGCCTGAAACTGTAAACAAACAAGTCTGTTCTATAGGTGACAGAGTCAGGCGATCCCATCTATCGAGGGCACCCCGTTTCAGGTAGCGTAAACACAGCCTCACGGGCTTCTGAGGGACATGAAGCTATTGAGAGCACCTAGCACACCTCTGTGATTGGCCCAAAATAGATCATAGATGATGTTTTTCCGCCATCTATTTTTGTCGTCTTCCAAAGTTTCCCTCGCGAGTTGACTACATTGCTGTAGATTCCCTAGATCTGTCACCCTTTGTTAATTATTTAATTATATCATTCATCGGAATGCTGGTGACAAAATTACTAACAATAGAAATGCAGCGCTGTGATGTTATTAAAGATTGCTTATCTACTACCAAGATGTTTCAATTGCCCTATCTCGCGTCTGAACGAGACTTGGGCGCTTGATCTACCTCGTCTTCTTAGCATGTGACGGACCGTGATACGAGTGTAAACAAACGTTCTAGCACTGAGTTGAAAGCGCTAAATTTTGTCTTCGGGCAGAGAGAGAAAGAGAGAGGGGAGGGGGTGGAGAGAAAGAAAGAGAGAGAAAAGGAGGGGGGGGGGGATACATTTTTGTTATTAGAATTATTGATTCCTGTCGTTTTCTCTCTGCGCTGGTTCACAAGCTGACCCGGTGCAATACAGTCATTATTGTACACATTATGGCCAGTCCCATCTTCATACATGACATGTCAATGTGGTCTGATAATTGCAGTCAAAGTCAAACTTTCACATTAGAAGTAATAGAACCGATCTGATTCACGAATCTTGCGGGATTGAGCACACGAATTTTAAAGGAGCATGCGCAGAAATCCCCACAGGCTAGAACACGGAACATGCGCAGAAATCCCCAAGCACCAGAAGCCGCAGACCAGACGAGGCTAATTGACTGAATTCGTTCACCCGGAACATGCGCAGAAATCCTAGATCGGGCGAGTAGCCACTCCGAAAATAGAAGTGAACATGCTGGGACAACATTTTGAAAGCACTACAATTAAGGCATTGAGAAAATGCTGGTGAAAAGTTGCATGCAGGTCTCTTCATCCATTTTGATGCATGTGAAATTGTCTTGATGAAGAAGACAATTTGGATTTTCAGTCTCCATAGAATTCAAGAAAACATGCACAACCAGCGTCTGTGGTGCAGCAATTAGGCATTTCACCGTTGCAAACAGGAAACCAGAGTTCTATTCCTGTGTGGGGAGAACTTTTATCAGGTATCTCGGTCCTGCTGCTAGGACGTTGTATCCCTTTTTAGCCTGGGCAGGCCCTCTCAGTACAGGAAGGGTCAAAGTCAAAGCCTGCTTTCAAATAGATCTAAATTGTGTCAATGGGGGTGTACAAACACTGAGAAGCAAAGGTGGAACAGTAAGCTAAACAGGGCTGGGATAGTGTTTTGTGGATGACATGAAAAAACGAAACGGTAACAGTAGTAACATGGTCTGGCAGGCGAGGTAGATACTCAGAAAGCCCTTCGGCCAGACTGATGTTGGGGCACACCTCCTTGACTCGGTTTGCAAATGTGAGAATCACTGAGAGGGCATATAGGATCCTGAAGTCTCCCACTGTACTTGTGTTAATGTTATAGTTTATAGTCCTTTGACACAATTTACAGTGCTCGCAACCAGCCCTGCTTGTCAGTGCCAAAATGGGCTTGCAAAAATGTAATATGTTCACCACAACAAAGATCATCTCATTCATCAATATATAATAATGTCTATCCAATGGAAGAATTCAACTCATCATCCCATTTGTCAAATTGCAAAGGTAGGAGCCTAACCTACGTCACAGACACCAAAAAGATAAAAATCAACCAGGGCACTTGCATCAACTACGAGTCGCAGTCGCAATGTCAATGGAGAAAAGCAACTTGCACACAGTGGAAACCTGATACAGTGGGTGTCGCATTCAACGAGGTTGCCGGGACCGGCTTGTTGTCCTCGTTGGATCCGACATCTCGTTGAACATGACTAAGGCTAAGGAAAAGAAAGGAGACAAGTTATTATATTGTTACACACAATGTACCAACACCAGTAATTAAAACAGTTGTTCTCCCTGATGACGAAAATCTCAAACAGCATTAGTAGAGTGCGCGTGTTTGAGCTGTGTTCTGACCATCATTTCTGCATTTTCAAATATATGTATATATTTTTTCGGGAACACTTCTCGTGAGGAAACATACCCTCTCACATCGATGCCCAGATCTACATAAAGTAAAGGCGGGAGCTAATTGGATTTTCTGATCAGGGGAAGAAAATAAAATTGATAAAAATGAAAGTCTTGGTCTGGACCTACCCATCCAGAGTTCACACAGCCTGCATCGTGTTCCCACCCACCCGCTTTGGGGCCCATACTAGGAGGAATGCGTTAGGAATCGAGGATGATGATGATGGAGAGAAAGGAGAAAAATTCTTCGCATTTGGGGCCCCTAATTGCTTTTATTCGGTCATCGTGACCTCGTTGAAAGCGACTTGTCTGTTTGCAACCTCGTTGGAGCTGACGTACATTTACAAAGAAATAGAGGGAAATAATCGAGGATCAAGGATTGCCTCATTGGAGCCGACTCCTCGTTGAATGCGACACCCACTGTATAACAGGGATGGTGGGACCAGATAAAAAAAATCTCGTTATATCTGATCCCTGTTAAATCAGAAAGCAAGGGAAGTAAGCATTTGTGGACTAATCCAGCTGAATTTATTCATGGGTAATTTCCCTTGCCACGCGTAGCTAGGCTAAAGACTAGAAAGTCAAAGTCTGAAGCACACCGCAGCGCTCTCTCGCTTCACCTTCACCCGATGCGTGTGCTTGCAGCAGTAAAGTGGCTTGCTCAATCACTGCCTTTTTAAATCTTTCTTTCTCCCTCTCTCTGTCTAGGTAGCGTAAACACGGCCTCGTGGGCACTCGCGGCCTTCCGACCGCGTGGTATCGGTAAAATCGGGTTAATTCCGATCGCTGTTTCTTTGCTCTTTCGCTATAAAACACCAAATGCTGTACACCTTATAAAAGTTCAGCTTTTCCTCGTTACAATGGTGTAAGTTGTTTATATGTCCGATTAGTAGGAGCTGGAGAATCGCCGACGAAAGCGAAGCCCCTCGCGTTCGGAATGCGTGGTCGGCCGGTTGAAAAATTGACACGCGTGCATTCAAATGCTTCGCGGAACGAGGGATGATTAAATACCGTCTTTTCATTGGCGGATAACTGCAGAACTTTAAACGGGCTTTCTCGTGATATAAGTTTAGCCTTTGGCGTCTTTATAGAAAGCTTTTAAAAATACCGTCAAAATGTTTAAAGATCCCTTTTTACACAAAATATGTATAATACCGACTTATAACTGGTATCAATTAAAAGAACAGTTTATTTTCTATTAGAATAAAAGTATTAACTTGGAATTATTTTTCATCAATCCTTCCGCGAGACTCGGAAAGCATGTGACCTCGCACGCGGGGTACACTACAGTATAGAGCCGACTCGCTCGCCGCGGGGGCCAGTGCGCGCCGCCGGGTCAACGCTCGGTGTTTTTGTCGAAATAACGACAGATCATCGTGTTTGAGGCGATAAAATACTGATTTATAAAGATCTCACAGTCTTGAAAAAAATTAGGCTCCATATATTTGTTATAGTGATTGTGCTCTGTTAATGTGGAGATGTTTAGTGCTCTTGGTACTTTTTTTTATTGTCTGTCAAACATGGGGTTGCAGCCAATGACTGACTTTAACAAATTTGATCAAATTTTAAACAACTACAATTTTCTTAACAATTGATGGAGAGGTTAAAGAATGGTACCAAAATGCTCAGTGGATATAGGCCTTTCAAATGGAACAGATAAATTCGGCATACAGCTAGTCTGAAAATTTAGTTTCTGGTACCTACTCTGTCTTACTTTTTATACATTAACGAGCCTTTGTCCCTGCTATAACCGATTGGGCTCCGTTGAGGCCGTTATTGCAGATAACTTGTAATAGAGACAAAGAGTAGGAAAAAACGGGGATTAAAAAAATCCGTTATTATATATGGTTTCCACTGTATATAATATAGCACATGCCACCACATATTACCAATTCCATGCCCAGATCTGCACAGTATCCCATGTGCACACATGTTGTTGCTGTCGCAAGCAAAATCCACTCATCATGTCCAAATTTCAAGAATTTTCGGTTTTTATGCACTCTTGAAACTCTTCAAAGATGCACATTTCAACATCAAAATGCAGTTTTAATTTACGGTCAAGGCTTACAATTTTCTTGCTTTTCGCAAAATTCCTGATAGAACGACACCAAAACTAGTTTTTAGTCTCTGATGTAAAAAGTGCCCAAAAGGAATTTCATTGGATAGCTCATGACACCAACCATAATATGGTCCACCCAAGTTGCTTCAATTCCAGTACATGTAGGCTACAACGAAGTAACCCTTTGTAAAGACGAAATTACACCAAATGGCAGCTACCTGCCTCTAAACAAATGTTTGTGTTCCACTTCTTCAAGACCTCAGAAGTAGCAATTTTTGCTTTTTTAAAATTTGACAAGTGATTTACATCGCTCGCAAAACTGCACAAGACATTTAACATTTTTCAGGTTCAGTTGGTAGGAAATTTTGAATGATGCCCAGGTGGCAGCCGAAGCCTACTATATTCATTTTAAGACCACCAAGGGATCTTTAATGTGCACAACTTGCACACAGGACCTCCAAGATTTTTCGCCCTTATCCGAGAAGGCTAGGTGTTAGATCTTACCTACCGTAAGATTAGGGGTGTGGATGAAAGACCTGTGACTAGCAGTAGAAAAGCTGCAGAAAGAGTCAGGAGCCCAGAGGAGAGGGGGGGGGCGCGCCGCCAGAAAGTGGATATGAAAGCAGACGACAGAACATCATGGTTAGAGAGCAGGAAAGGATGTGAAAGAAGAAACACCCCCCGGATTCAAACCTGGGACCTACCTATTGATGAATGAGAGGCAAATGCCCTAACCTCCAGACCACGAGAGCCCCAGATGTAGCTGGACTCAGTTCATCATGGTGCAACTTATTTCACAGGCATTTTACATTCCCTTCAACTGCAACACAATTTCAGTTAGGAGACAGGCTCTGACCCCACCTGTCAGGGCCAACAGGTCCTGAGAGCAATGTAACTACACAGCACAAAGACCAAGATAATAAAAATCTTCCCCATACGGGACTTTAACTCCAGTCTTCTGTGTGTGACAACAAAACATGTAACCACTACACCACAGACGCCGATCAGATTTTTTTTGCTCATTAGGCCTACATGAAGTCAGATGACATTGAGCCATGATATTACATTTACACAAGTCAGGTTGTGTACATTAAGCTCACAAATGTGAAGTGATAGTCAATTTAGTTACAGGTCTTTCATAGGAATAGGATTGGACCTATCAGTAATCAATTCAACACTTGATCAGTTACAGGTCTACTCCATCACATGATCAGAAGACCCACAGTATTTTTTCAGACTATCATGTGTTACAACAGCTTCAAAATGAGAATAACACTTTTATCATTACATCAAACTATGATATGACACACAACAGAGGAAGGGACACAAACTCATGACACTGTCAAAAACAAAAAACAAATTCAAAACATTCGTGGACCATACCAAATTTTATTGGTAACTAAATTTATATATCCGTGACCACGGTAGTCTTTTCAGAGACGTAGATACCATCCAAGAACTTTCTGATATCCTTCTTCTTGACGGATGTGGACTGCTGAATGAGGGCAGCTGGAAAAGAGGGGGGAAAAAAGTAAATTATACTTCATGTCTTGTAAGCTCTGAGATTACCCCCTCCCATTTCACCAACCAAATGCAAGCAGAACCCCTATCGACTCACAAGCGATGAAACTGAAGGAGAAGAGGGGGGGTGGCCCCCTGAAAAAGGGACCATCAAACGGCCGGTAACCTCTTTGTCGCGAAGAGCTATGATCGTGGCTTCCCGGTACAGTGGTAGAGGGCCAAGAGCAACTATCGTGGCTTTGGAAAGTAGGATCAAAAGCACGTTTGGAATTCCTCGGGTGCGATTATCTGGCATGGTCTGCTGGTCGTTTTTGACTGCTCAACCGATTGTGTTTCATCGGCGTTTACACTACTTTTGGTTTAAAAGCTTATGAAAAGAGATACATTATGATCTTTGAACCGCAAGCTTTTATTTTCAAATCTAATGAAAAACAAAGAAATAAAGTGATTTCTTTACAAGAAGTTGTGCAAAAGTCCATAAATATATTCCATCACTGTGTGGAATACTCTTACTTCACTGCAGGTAGATGAAACTTCATAATTACATACGTTTTTTTTTTTTAAATGGACAATTTCCATCAGTAGAAACGAGGCATTGACCAGTAGGCCCTGATCAGCAGGAAAGCCTGTTCTTTATTGGAAAAATGTTGAAGTGAAGGCCAGTAAAATGAACCCTTGCCTAGGCAGTTCAGTGAACGAGATCGGCTCGCGGCGAAATCGGCTCATCGCCGCCCGTAGAAAACTGTGAGCGGCGGATCGCGTCGGCGATTTGGTGACCTCAGAAAATCACGAATTTGTTTCGATAAATAGTAATAAACCACTACTTCCGATACATGTTTTTGTAGATTTTTAAATCATCTACAAAATGGCGTCTTCCTTTGGCAGATCCGACTAGTAGAGCCAGAGATATTTTGATTTGAATTTAAGCCAAGTTTCAACGTTTGATATCTTGTTCCCCACTTGCCTGGCAGTTTTGTAACTTTTCTGGCAGTTAGACATATTCTTTATCTTTAAAATAAGCCTAGAATGGATGTAGTTAGCCCTGTCTAATGGCGACTAGAGCCAGCGCACTTGATAGCGAAAGTTGTTTTTCTTAGGCAGCATCGGCGTGCCGGGGCGGGGCAATGAGTCGCTTTAGCACAATCCAGATAACATGTTAGTGCACCTCTTCGGCAAAGCCAAATGTTATGAACCGCTTCAGCAAATGGATCAGAACCACTTCGACAAATGGGTTAGCATTACTTCAACACTAATGTGTGCACCCACTTCGGCAAACAGGTCAGGAAAGAGAGTTAAGAGTCTGAATTCGGATGTTTCATTGAGAATTATCCGGTTATCCGGATATGATATCCGGATTTTGCCCACCTTTAGTTCTGGGTCTTTGCCGCATCGCACTTTTCGCCTTCCTAGTAATCTTCGTCCTAGTTGTTTGGGTTTTTTCTTCTATTTAATATTTTCAGTTTTTACAGAACAGGAGATCATTGGACCCATGGTATATCTGTTCACAGATATTGTTTAACACTTGTTTTCTTTTGCCAAGGTCTGTGCACAGTGATTTTGACTTTGAGAAGATTATTTTTATTATAGTATAGATTCTAGATTTTCTAGAGACAATTTTAAAATTTTTTGATTCTGTTGGCCCACAGTTGCACACATTATTATGTATCATGTATATTGTGCAGTTAGCTCTTACTAATGTATGTATGTAGTATAGGGTTTTACGGTGCTCGCAACTGCTAAGGTCATATGAGCGCGCGAAACACAAGTTGTTTACTTTCGCAAAAGTTCACTCCACGACTGGTCAACTAATTGACTTTAAAATGCTAAAATGTTAAAATTTAGTGTAAATACATTTGTGATTTAAAACAACTCTTATAGGTTAAAAAAAAAAAATTTTTAATAGTACGTTTTCATTTTTCATTTTACAACTTGCCATAAAGGCCAATGGCCTTTATAAAATTCAAAATTCTGCTGGGAACAACGACGGAAAAAATATCTTGCAATTTCTTGCATTTATAATACTTCCTTCGGATCTCTCCTAAGTCTAGACATTCTGTTAAGATGAGTCAAATGGTAAAATCTGTGTCGCATACGACACAGAACGGCTTCTCATCTCCCTGTAGGAGGTATTTGTGGGTCAGGGCCGTGTGTCCGATGCGCAATCAAGTAAAAATGACTTCGTCTCTTCTGGAGAGGTCCGAAGGATTTCGCTGTTCTAGTTTGGGTTTAATTTCAAATAAAGCTCTTACTAAAGTCTTACATTCTTAGTTTTAGTCTTTGATTTTATATGCTAGTTTTTTCTAAAGTTTTGTAGGCCCAAGTCTCTGTATTATCATTTATAGTCTTCGTCACTCGTAGTTGATTTATCTTTAGTAAAACTCTTTCCCTTTTTCCTCAAACTGTTCATCACTACTAGTTTTATGTTCACACAACTGTCTGGTCACAATGAAAATTACTTGGAATAGCATCTACGATCTAGTAGGCCTCTTACGTGATTTTCAATCGACTATTTTTTTCGTGCTTGATTTTTACCTCAATTTGTTCTTTTCTCCTTTTCTAGTGCAGTTTGAAATTTTGTTATCCTCTTCTTATATTCTCTTTTAAAAATGTGTTGAATAAGACGATGATACATGATAAGTGCACTTCAGACTATTCCTTGTTGAAATATCGCTTATTTTCAAATTCATCCTTTATGGGAAACATGAAAATTGACCCCGCTCTTTATCTACATACCATGTTAAAGAGATTTATGACACAAAACTGTTTCTGTTTCTTTCATATGAAAGTACACATAATAACCTTTGATTTGATGCAAAAACAGGAAGATATCTTTACAGGTTGCGAAGTTATGTACATTTTTGTCCTCCTTTAGCCACAAAATGCAGTGCAAAAAAGGACTAGATTTTGAGCGAAAAATAAAGTAGAAAAAATCCCATAACTTTTCAACCAATACAGATATTGACAAAATTCAAAAAGCATTGTGATCAGTGTGGCAGGACCTTTCCTTTGAGCCTATTTTCATTAAAACCTAACAACTTTGAATTTTTCACTGAACTGCCTGAACACAATAACTAAAAGAGCAAGTAACAAGACAAGCAGATGGAGAAAGAAAAATAGACCCCAAGACAAAATCTGTCAGCTTTTCCAAGGATTTGGTTCTACAACTACTGCAGACGTCGCAGCAGCCACCAGCAGAACTCAATACCCTTGTGCAAAGAGGAAACATTCCAAAACTCTCAAGCTGATTATCAAAACATGTACCTGATCTTGAAACAAGCTCCAGGTCATTTCCCTCCAGGACAAACTCGTCCTTGCTGCCAGATGGCTTGAAGGTAACACCGTCCAACATGTTCACATGGCGAGCGAACTTCTCTCCCAAGAAGTTTCTGATCTCCACGCTGGTGTTGTTGTTGCTGATAGCCACGTTAATGGGGAAATGAGCATACACAGCTCTCATCTTGTAAAGGAATCCCTGAAGAAGGAAAATTGGTATTTACATTAAACGTATTCAATTATTTGATCAAGAAACGGGTAAATATGTTTTACAACACTACAAAAAATAAATGAGTCAGTAACAAATCACATTCCTATTTTTTCTTAAACGTATATGTTTTTACACACACCCCTCCCACCACTACAATTTAGATCATCTAGGAGGCAGGCTTCCGACCCTGACTGTCAGGGTCCACTTGGGCTGATAGGGATACAATATCTCAATCCAAGAAGAAAGACCGAAATATAATATCTCAACCCCAGCAGAAAGACCAAAATATTTGAAATCTGAACTTCTCCCGGCTCGGGTCTCGGGACTGAAATTCTTTCTGTTAAACAATGTTTAATGTTTATACATTATGTAAAATAGCAGGAATCTCGCTATACGGGATCCAGTAATAAATTCAAGGGAAACTGTAAAGCAGGCTTAATCTATGAGTTTGTTGTTCTGTTTATTTCCTTTTGCTATCTCCTCTGATGATGACTTTGTTTCAACATGACCTCTAGGTCTTACTTGGTCAAAACTCGAATCAGGTTTCTTTCTCTGGCGCTAGGTAGGCTAACTCGAAGAGAGGGCTCTAGGCTAACTCGCCCGCTGTGTTTTCCCCCATCCCACTACATCCTGTAGAGCATTCTGTTTGCTTGCGCACGTCACACATTCGCTCCATCCATCACATTGCTGTGACTTCTCCATCCCCGCATCGGAGAAGTGAGAGGCATGGTAGGCCTTGACAATCTAAACTACGCTTACGCTGGCCTATCACGCGATGCGTTCTGCTTGTCTGCGCATGCCACAACCTCCCTACTCAGTCACTCGGACCTTCATTGTTGACGCACATGGGCTCTCCCATTCTTTGTTTCGCAAGATCACCAACAAGTTTCTCAACTGGCGAGGTTTTGCACTATGTATAATTGGCCTATGCACTGTGCACAGCAGCAGCAATATTCCGCTATAACCGACTCGCATGTTTGTCTGATTGTGCTATAGCAGTATTTTATTTACAAAGGTAAAGAGGAGAGAAAAACGGGGTTTTAGAATAGTGTCTTTATAACAGACTTCTCGTTTTTTCCGGACTCCTTTTAAGTGGACTCCACTGTATAACTCGAATAGGTCGAACAGAGGAGACTCGAAATCACGCATCCGTCGAACTGTGCCTGCAATCCCATTTTTCCGTCATCTTTATCCTTGTAAGAAAATCACTCAAGCTCAACACAAACACGGAACAGTTGAACTAATTACGCCGCCGAAGAGGCCGAAAAACATGTCCTTTGAAGACAAAAAAAAATATGGAAAAAGACAGGCTCTGTAAAATACCACCTTGACCCCCAATCCACAAAAGTAGCTAGCTGCGCTACTTTTAGCAGGCTGCTAGACACACGTGCCTAGGCCCTAAGTCTAGTAGATGATTATTACAGTAACAAAAATAAAAAAAGAAGAAGAAAAAACCCACTGCAGCTGATATAAAACACAGACATAAAATAATTTGAATATGAATTTTTCTTTTAAATTAAAGAACAATCTTCTCTGTCCTTTTGGTAGGGTAGTGAAAACCAGGGTCCCCAGACTATGAAGCATTAATGTAGCTGCCAAATTTAATTTAGACCTGCATGTGAGCCTCAACCAGATTGTCTGAAAATTTTGCGCAAAAAAAGGCCTTTGTGGGTTCATAAGGAAGGACATCCGAGTAACGAGCGACCACCCCAACAAACACAATAAAGAAGAGACCTAACCCTAACCCTAAAAAGAACCTGCAACGGGCCTCATGTAAAAAGGCCAAAACAAGTCCTAAATATGAAAAAAAAAAATTTTAATTAAAAAACCACACTCCAAATCCAAAATCCAAAACAAACAAGGAGCATATAGATCTAGATCTAGATGGCTTACATCTACATTGTTATAGGGTTTGATACAATAACACAATAGAACTGGAATATGAATCCTCCATAGATCTAGATATCTAGATCTAAGAATCTATATATCTAGATCTAAGAATCTATATATCTAGATTTTTCTAGATCTAAATAAATAAATAGATTCTAGTTCACGTACCTGATGAAATGCTTATTTTTACCAATATTAATATTACAGCACAACCTATGATAGGGTTTGACACAATAGAATTGGAATATGAATCCTCCATTGGGGTCTATAATGATCTCTATATAAATCTAGATCTAAATTCTAGATCTAGATTCTATTAGAACAAGAGAGTCGGACTTGAATGAATCCACACGATCTGAACAATTGAATTAGTCAACAAACTAAATTCAAAATGGCCGCTCGAGCACGAAACTGAAAGTTGATAATTTAAGTTGTCGTCCTTTTTCGTATTCGCATTTCTACTTAGGTTCCGACAATTATGTCGGAAACGCCGACGTCGGCAGTCGGCACGAAAACGAAAGTGCCGACGAAGCCGACGGGAGAAAAATGGGTCGCTGGCAGTCGGCCAAGCCTCGCACTACGCACATTGACTGATACAGGCGGGCCTAGCGTTAGCATCGGCCGGTTCGCGGGTCGGGTCGCGATTGTCGGATTTCAGACGATTGTCGGCAAACATGCAGGTCTATTAATTATAAAACATTTCAGCGATACAAAAATCGACTTCTTCCTTACTCAGAACCACAAAAATGAGGTTAGCAGACCTGCCACTCTGTGAAATCTAAAAATCAGGACTTTTGAATTAAAAAATCAGGATCTAGTGAAAAAAATCAGGATCAACGGCAAATCAGTCATAAGGGGCACTGGGGAAGAGGGGGTGGTGGTCCTGGTTCCCTTGTAGGAGGCAAGTATGCAAGACAAAGCTTTTTGAAAACTCAAAGACTGCTTAAAGTACTCGAATCTGAGTTGGATAGACTGGGGGAGCGCAAGGTGCACTAAAGCTGAAACTCTTGTAGTCTTGAAAATTGCTGACACATAACTCTAATCATCCAGCAAAAAGTCCACGTTTTCATACAGTGACAACCTTTGACTTCCATCGCATTTATACACTCAAGGCACCCCCCCCCCCAGAAAAAAGATCGCGTCAAGGTTGTTCATTTCTTTTATTTTCTTATTCCTTTCTCCTCAATTAGTACTTGCATCACGGCACGCACTTTAAGCCCAAGTGTAAAGAAAAAATACCCGCACCCCCTCCCCTCGGTCGTCCCACATTGTAAGTCCCGAAAAACGTCTCGACCAATGCGAATGAATTTTGTTGACCCCGACACACGTGCTACTCACACACACGAGGTCATGTCACGTGATGCGAATGAGCGTTTGAAAGTTCCACTGACGTCTTGATAATGGGCCCGAAGAATAGATTATTCTTAGGCCCATGTCATAATTGTTACAGTAATCAGGACACCATCGGAGAATTTTGGGTTATAAAAGCGAAAGTAGATCTTGAGCGTACCCAAGTCGGCATTCAAAATCGATTTGCGTCGATTTTAGTTGAAATAACGTGCGTGAGTCGACCACTAGATTCGGCATAGATGTTTTAGAAAGTAGCGTTCCAAGTTCCTGCTGATAACAAGTCCAATCAGTGCTTCCAAGCAAAATAGATTGCAGAACTTTTTCTATTTTTTTTCTAAGAATCGGACGCAACAACAAAAAATCAGGATACTGGCGATCGAAATCGGGAAAACCGGGATGTTTGAGATTTGTGGAAAAAAAATCAGGATATCCCGATTAAATCAGGATGAGTGGCAGGTTGGGTTAGTGCTTTGATAAGAAATCTATCACATACAATGGCAAATGATCATAAATGTTAACCCCCCCCCCCCCAATACAAACATAAGTCTCAGCAATGTCTTTTGTAAAAGGCAGTTAAATAATCAAATGAATGTACATACCAGAGTGACTCCCTTGATCATGTTCTCCACATGAGAGCACACGGTCCTGACAGCTGCCAGCTCTTTGTGCTTGCCAAACCATTTCTCCACCTGAAGAAAGCACAAGTGAAAACACATTGATACAGAACTGCCAACTTCTCCATGACTAAAAATAGGAAGTTTTCCTCAAAACTCTATCAAAAGTGGCAGTTTTGAAAAAAAATAAATCAAGAGTTCCATAAAAACACCCTAGTAGATTTAACTCATTGCCGACAGCCTACGAGAATACTTGTATCTAGGCAGCCACCTGACTACGAGAAAATCTAAATCCATCTCTCTCTTTCAAACTTGCCCCAGTCCACCAGTCTTCTATTTGCTACAGATCAAACATAAAGCCCCTAACTCTCGTCCTGCGGGGGCCGGGTTTATGTCGCCCGATAAGCCCTATTTAATTTTGGCACATCGCGTCGTGCCGAACATCATCTCCCGTTCAATTCGTCGGATCCCCATTCACGCAGGTCAAGTGTGTGTGCGTCAGTATGCTTGAGTTTGTGTACGTACGTCTCATTTAAAACGCGCCAGGTTGGTAGCTCCAGATGTTTGTCCAATGAAACTATTTTAGACATGACGAGCTCGAAAGGATAGTCAGGAAACTAGAATTCCATTTTTCAATACAAAATCTTTCAAATGAGCTTGATTTTTTACGAAATGATACTACCTGATAAAAAATAGGCTTGTTTGATAATATTGAATACCATTGTGCAGGTACAAAGAGCAATTTGATTGCAAAACATTCGGGAATTTACCTATATTATCCACTTTCGAACCACAGATCATTCATAACAAGAGCGTCAAGAAAGGTTATTTGAATGGGCGTAACTACTCGTAATGTCTTTCTAGCTTGTGACAGGAGGTTATCCATGTGTTTGTAACACTTTATAAATAGAAAGCTATGAAAGATAGTGTTATTTTCATCATCGATTAACACGCTCCTACGGTATTCATGGCGAAAACATGTTTCCCAACGCGTGTGCTGTACACCAACAGTATACACTGAGTGACCCTGGCGGCCTGCCCGGAACGCCCGACGTAATCCGTCGCTGATAAGATTTGCATCTCAGGACAGATGCAGGACAAGAGTTAAAACTATCACAAAATTATTTTCAAGAAAGTTTCAAACCTAACTGCAAAATATCAAATACAGTGGAATCCTGTTATAACGAGAGGGAGGGGACCGGTGCGAAATGTCCGTCATAGCAGAATTCTCGTTACAAGGGCTTCAATAATAAATTCAAGGGGAATAGTAAAGTAGGCCTAATCTATGAGTTTGGTGTTCTGTTTATTCCTTTTTGTATTTCCCCTGATGATGATTTGTTCAACATGATCTCAATGTCTTACTTGATCAAAAATCAAATCAGGTTTCTTTCTCAAGCACTAGCAATGTTGACGAATCGACCTAGGCGATCAGAAAGAAGGGGTTCTGGCTTTAGGCTGACTCGCCCGCTGTGTTGTCCCCCACCCCACCATAAACTGTGGCGCGTTGCTTCTAGTTGCGAACATCACACATTCACTCCATCCATCTATCACAGCATTGTGACCTCTCCATGCCCCCCTGTTTTTACACCTATAATTTGATATTTTACAGTTAGATTTGAAATTGTCTTTAAAATAATTGATTTGCGACAGTTTTAGTGGCTTTATGTGTGATCTGCAGCAAACAGTACAGCAGTTTGACCCCTGAAACAGTGCATCTGTGTGCGGGAGTGAAAGTAAAAATTTACCAAAAAATGTACTGCTGACCAACATGCAATGAATGCATGGGACTGGGACATAGCGGTATAATGTCCGATTGCAGGAAATGCGCAATTTGGCAGGTTTCTATAACGTTAACTTGCTGCCAAGAGAATTACCGTAAATATCCGCACCTTATACAAGACGATACGAAGGCGAGTACGGAATTTCGGCAGTCCTGCACTGCCGCAGTTTTTTTTAAAGGAGGGAGTAGATAATGATGGAGGGACAAGTACGGAACTGGCAGAAAGTACGGACTTTGTAAAAATACGGAAGAGTGGAAGCACTGACAAATAAATGTAATTTAGAACACTCAAGACATTAGACTATGAAAAGTTACCAGTGCCAATATATATACATATTATAAGTTTAAACATTATATAATGTTTAACTTTTAAAAAAAAAAACGAAAGTCCAGTTTTCGTTTTACACAAAATTCCACAAACCTTCAGAACTTTGGTCTGGGGCATTGAAATGTCAACAGGCAAGTGACGGAACTTGCGAACCAAAGTTCCACGTGGTCCCTTCACTGTGATAGCCCTGGACTTGACAGTGACGGACACTTAAAGAAAAGAACAAATAATCACATGATAATGATGTGTTCTGCAAGACAGCCACTCTTTTGTACCTCTAATTCTACTAAAACGAAGTGAGGTGGGAACAATTTTTTTTGGCAACATTTAGGTAGGCCTACAAAATTACTAAGCGAGAATTCTACAGTCTAGTAGATTTAAGATCTATCCAAATCTAGTTTTATAAGATGTATTACAGGCAGAAGGCCAACCTCTAAACCTGGGGTACGAATTAGACTTAGACATATTTCCACTGGCATTTATAACTAAGTCTCTCTTCTCTCTTGCCCTTTTTAACTCCCAGTGGAGCACAGTCCATCAACAAAATTACTCCAGCGAAGCCTGTCCTGAGCATCCTTTTCTATCTGTTTCCATGATGTCCCCGCTTTTTCAATTTCCACTGATACCGCTCGCCTCCATGTCATCTTAGATCTTCCCTTCTTACGCTTTCCTTGTGGGTTCCATGTTAAGGCCTGCCTGATGATGCTTGTCCGGGGTCTCCTCAGGGTGTGTCCAATCCATTTCCATTTCTTCACCTGAATATCTTCCTTTACTGGCCTTTGGCTTGTTCTCTCCCACAGATGAGCATTCGTGACTCGATCGTACCACTTGATCCCCACTATCCTTCGTAGGCATCCATTTACGAAGCTCTGCAGTTTCCTTGCTGCTGATGCTGTGAGCCTCCATGTCTCTAAACCATACAGTAGAACAGTCTTCACGTTTGTTTTGAAGATCCTCAGTTTGGTGTTCAATCCCAGTTCCTTAGACATCCATATATTCCTGAGAATGATGAATGCTGCTCTTGCCTTTTGGATTCTGACCTTGATGTCTTCGTCTGTTCCCCCTGCCTTGTTGATGACACTTCCCAGGTAGGTGAAGGATTCAACATCCGCCAATGGTGCCCCTTGCAGTGTGATAGGAACGTCGGCTGCATTCATTTGTAGAACTTTCGTTTTATCCGTGTGAATATGGAGTCCAACACTACCGGAGAAGGTCCTGAGGTGATCTGTTTTCTGTTGCATCTGGGCTCGACTGTGGGAAAGGAAGTGCCAAGTCGTCGGCAAAGTCCAAGTCTTCCAGCTGACTGGAAAGGGTCCACTGTATGCCACTGCGTTGTCCCGATTTGTCTGTTTCATTATCCAATCCACTGCTAATAAAAAGAGAAAAGGCGATAGCAGGCATCCCTGTCTCACTCCTGTATTCACTTCAAACGAGTCTGTTCGCTGCCCTCCAAGTAAGACCCTGCAACTCATTCCCTCATACATCTTCTTGATCAATCTCACGAACTTGTCAGGTATTCCGTAGTGGCGCATGAGCTTCCATATTGAGTCCCTATCTAGGCTGCCAAAAGCTTTCTCGTAGTCAACAAAGTTAATGTACAGGGAAGAGTTCCACTCGGTGGACTGCTCCACTATTATCCTCAAAGTTGCAATCTGATCTGTACATGATCTCTTTTTACGAAATCCTGCCTGCTCCTCTCTTAATTTTGCATCCACGGCTTCCTTCAGTCTTTCCAGTATGGTACGACTTAAAATCTTCCCCGGAATGGAAAGGAGCATGATTCCTCTGTAGTTTTTACACTCATGCAGGTCTCCTTTCTTGGGTAGTTTCACGAGCAATCCCTCTCTCCAATCCTGTGGAAATTCTTCGCTGTCCCATATCTTGCCAATAATTCCATGGAGAATCCCTGCCGCAGTGTCGATATCCACCTTGAGAACTTCTGGGGGAATTCCATCTGGGCCGGCTGCCTTGCCTTCTTTCTGGTGTCTTATCGCCTCCTTGATCTCCTCTAAGCTAGGCTTTTCTTCACTTACCCCCAGATCAATCTCTGCTGGTGGAATGTCAAACTGTTTTTCTGGCCTTGGTCTGTTCAGCAGCTCTTTGAAATGCTCCTTCCAGCGTTCTTTCTGTTCGTCTGGATTTGTGAGAAGCTTTCCCTCTTTATCCTTCACTGGCACATCTGCGTTCTTGTATCTGCCTGCAAGTTTCTTGGTGGTTTCATACAGTCCTCTCATGTTTCCTGCCCCTGCTGCTTCCTCTGCCTCGCGCGCTAGGTCATTTACATAGGTTTTTTGGTCTTTCCGTAGGCTGACTTTTACCTCCTCCATTGCTTTGGTGTATTCTTCTTGGGCCTTTGCTTTGGCTGCTCTTGTCTTGCTCCTGTTTACCTGATCCTTTTTCTTTTTCCTTTCTTCTATCTTCCTCAAAGTGGTGACCGATATCCAAGGCTTGTGCTCACGTTTCCGTTTCCCCAGTACCTCTTGACACACCGTGGTCCAGCCTTCTTTTATTGCCTCCCATGTTTCTTCCACGCTGCTATCCTCGCCTAGTGTTTCCAACATTTGGAACCTGTTCTTAACTGTTACATTAAACTCCTCTCTTGATGATGGCTCTCTCAGAAATTCCACGTTGTACCGGTACCTATGATTATTGACAATTCCCTGTCTTCGCTTTAGTTTTAGTCGGATGGTTGAAATGAGCAAATGATGGTCCGAAGCTACGTCTGCACCCCTGTAAACACTAACATCCCTCATTGATCTCCTGAATTTTTTGTTGACACATATGTGGTCAATCTGGTTTTCAGTTTGTTGGTCTGGCGACACCCATGTTGATTTGTGTATCTGTTTATGTGGGAAAACAGTCCCTCCTATCATGAGCCCATTTGTTGCACATATTTCTGCAAATAGTTCTCCATTCTCGTTTCTTATAACTAAGTACTAGATCTATATCTAGTACGACTACAAATTTACGTTGAGTCTGGAAATATTGAGCACGTTGAAATAAGAGTGATAATGCTCACAGTAAAAACGTCACTTTTAGCTTTTGAATGTTTTCTGTCATATCAAATCAATCTCATTCAAAGCAAAGAAAAAGACCAAAAATATGATGAATATATGAAAGTAAAACTAAATCCTGCATATATTGCCTTCATTCCAATCAAAAGTTTGACTGAGAGATATAACAATTTTTTTATCACAAAACATTCTGGACTGGTATTATAACTCATCAAAAGCTTACCATTGTCCGGAACTTTGACCAACTGGAAAGAATTGATGGTCTTCATGCTGACGCCTGAAAACCAAAAAAAAAAGATAATAATAATGTGCAAGTCCTTGCCTTAAAATGAACACTAAATCAAACAGCGTGCCTGTCCTAGAGTTGGGTCACGTAAATCAATGCTCGCAAGTAACAAATGGTTTGCTGGTACCACTAGCAAACGAACGGACTGGTAACGAGCTGCCCGCTTGTCAGCGAGCGAGCTGTGGACAGAGAGACTCCATGCATTCAAGTGGGCAGGCGGACGGAGCGGCTCCTTCCATTACATTACTACTTACACTAACACCCCCTGCCCAACATTGTAGCTAGGTGTTCATAGTTCATGGCAGAAATTTCTGTAATCTTGTAGTTCCGTTCGTTAAAGTCCACGATCCATTTGTCTACATCCAGAAGTCTTGAAGACCAAATAGGCAACACAAAGTAGGGATGCAACCTCTGCAAAACATCAAATTATGGTAAAATTCAGGGGGGCATGACCCCCCCCTCTCCATATTTTAAGACTGCGGTTATTGGTACAATAGTGCGCACAACTAGTTATTAGTACAATTGTACCAATAATTTTTCTGTTAGTGCAAAATGCATTGGCTTTATTTTAACTAATGATTAATTTAAGCAACTGCAAAAGAAAGCCTTAATCTGCTATATCATTATCAGTGAATTATGGCAACAGACAAAAAATGTCAGTCTAAAAGGAAGGGGGGTGGGGGGTGTAATTATGCATAAACTTGCATTTTATTACAGTGTGTGTGCGCGCGCGCTTAGTGTTTGTCTAAAAAAAAAGAAAATGCTAATTTCAATAATGAAAAAAAAGTAAATTGAATACTGTATTATTTTACAATGACAGGGGGGAAGCAGACTTTTAAGCATGATTATATTAGTGTACTAAACCTTATATCTGTTTCATAAAACCAAGGAAAGGAATTCTGAATGTTTAAAGATGTAAAAACAGAATACATTTTTAAAACAGTGATTTAAATCACTGATTTTTATTTTAAAAATCAAGTTGATTAAAATAAAAAAATCAACCCAGCTCTGATTTCAATTATGAAAAAAAAAGTAAATTGAAACTGTATTATTTTACAGTGAAAGGGGGGAAAGCAGACATTTAAATTTAAGCATGAATTATATTAGTCTACTAAACCTTATATGTTTTATGAAACCAAGGAAAGGAATTCTGAATGTTGAATTATATGTAAAAACTGAAATATAATTTTTTTAAAATAATTTAAATCAACCCAACCCTGCTTACCCCTACCCTTCACAACCTCAATAAAGAAGAGGCCTAACCCTACTCCTTCTCACCCCCACCTCTAACCCTCAACAAACAAAACAAAAAAGAGACCTACTATTACCCCTACTCTTGCCTCCACCCCTAAAGCCTAAACAAACACAAAAAAGAGGAGACCTACCCCTACCCCAAACCCTAAAAAAAACACAATAAAGAAAAGACGTAACCCTATCCCCATCCCTGACCTTCATCAAACACAAGCCGACAAGGAAAGACCTATCCCCCAAGAAGCCCTACCCTGGGCCAGACCCTATCCCTACCCCTAACAACTCTTTATTTTTCTCAGTTTCATATTGGTCGCTCGTAGCGAAATTCCTCCTCCCTAATAATAATACAGTGGAGTCCTGAAATAACGAGAAGTCTGTTATAAAGACATTGTTCTAAAACCCTGTTTTTTTCCCTACTTTACCTTTGTAAATAAAATACTGCTATAGCGACATCAGACAAACACGCTAGTCGGTTACAACGGAATATTGCTGCTGCTGTGCACAGACCAATTAAACATGTATATATTTAAAAATAACTCGCCAGTTGAGAAAGTCGTTGGCGATCCCGAAACAAAGAATGGGAGAGCCCATGAGAACAAACAATGGAAGGCTAGAGAGAATAGTGGCATCGCGTGATACTGATAGGCCATCCCAGTCTAGATTATCTAGGCATACCGTGCCTCTCACTTCTCTGGGCAGGATGGAGAGGTCACAATGTTGGGATAGATGGGGTGAATGTGTGACGTGCGCAAGCAGACGCAACGCACCACAGGGTGTGGCGAGGTGGGGGACAACACAGCGGGTGAGTTAGCCTAGAGCCAGAGCCCCTTCTTTCTGTTCGCCAATGCCGAGCTGTCAACATTGCTACTAGTGCTAGAGAAAGAAACCCGATTCGATTTTTGATCAAGAAAGACCTAGAGATCATGATCAAGTCAAGTTGAACAAAATCATCATCAGGGGAAATACCAAAAGGAATAAACAGAACATTATAAACTCATAGATTAGGCCTACTTTACTATTTCCCTTGGATTTATTACTGGATCCATTATAGCGAGAATCCTGCTAAAATGGACATTTCGGCTCGGTCCCCTCCCTCTCGTTATAACAGGATTCCCCTGTACAATCATTTACAATGCATTTTGCTAGAATTAATCGCGGTGAGAATTTGGTTAGAAACTGAAGAAAACCTGGCAACTCAGCGCTCCTAAACAACGGAAGTAGAATAAGTCTGCGGGGTCATCAATTTTGTCATGAACAGATGGTACTTATACAGTGGCTTTCGGTCTCCCATTGAGTATTATAATCTAGATTTAATAGTGGTCGCTCGTTACGGCGGAAGTCCTCCCCTTTAGTGCTTCCTTCCAGTCTTACGCTAAGCCTCAGTTCACACCTCAACAATTACCTGGCAATTCAGTCTCTGGCGTTCAGCTTTGGACTTTCACGAACGAGACTACAAAATCACCCTGGGGGTAGATTCTAGAATCTAGATCTAGATCTAGTAGATTCGGTGCTTTTTCGGTAGTTCCCACCCCCCTTATTTGAGCCTGACCTAGATCTACATCTAGATCTAGACGTTTGATTCGCGGTGAGCTAAGATATCAAACCTAACAACTGCAAAATATTAAATTATGGTAAAATTCAGGGGGGCGATTCTAGAATCTAGACTAGATCTACTGACTTGTAACCCCCCTTGTTGGTCTAGCCTACTCTTGAGGCCAAAACCAGCGAATAATAATTTGTTGGGGGGTGGGACTAGATTCTAGTCTAGATCTAGATCTAGTCTAGTAGACTAAGACTAAGAGTCTAGATTTAGACGAGAAACGCCAAATTAGATCGGATGAGATAATGTTTATATGGAAACAATTATTTCCATTAGGCTATCGTCCAATTCAAAAGCACTCCCGGGAAGATTGAAGAATACCGGACCACTCGTACATTATTGCGCGAGAAAGTGGGGTTGGTGGGGCGGGTGGTTGGGGTGGAGGAGGGGGGAGAAGGGGTTCAGGGGGGGGTCTGCTGACAAAATTTTAATGAACAGATCTACCGGGTCCGAGATTCTCCATTGAGAGATATTAAAAACGGGAAAATTATGAATTCCTAAGGTTGAGACATAGGAAAAGTCAGTCTGCTGGTCCAGTATTCTTCAATCTTACCGCACTCCCTTTTGCCTTGTTCTTATTCTGTAGCCTATAGTCAAATATGCTGCTGTCGGTCAAGTCGGCACACAACTCACAACACCGTTTACTTTACTGATACGTGTTTCAGGTTCATGCACCGAGTACACCACAACAAACATGAAATTTCAGTACGTTCTGCAAAACATATCAACGAAATAGTAAATACAACAAATGTATATATAATGTATCCGATCTTAAGTCAATTCAAAAAGTGAATTTAGCTAACATACAGCCTGAGATGGCTTTAGATTTTGAATATGAAAACTCGATGCTACCTTCTTCTCTGAAAGCAATAGGGGAAAGGAAACAGGAAGTGTGAAAACTTTTGACTGTCTTGCGCAGTGAACGTAACCGGAAGTCAGAAACACGCGAAAAAGAAAGTAGAATCAAGCCTACTGTCAGCTACAACTAGATACTAGATAGCCTAGATCTAGACTCTAGAATCTAGATATCTAGATCTAGTCACTCTGGTCCAAGACTCTGGTCCTACACCTGTTTTGCCAAAGTTCCCGAGCTCAGCTGACAGCAGCTCACGGAGTAACTGAGCCTGCCCACTCGCCACTTACTCAGTGTCGTCGAGAGGCAATCTGCACATGTGAGTCTGCTGTGGTTCGACGGCTTTATTCAACATCAACAGTACAGTCAGTTATTAGATCTAGAATCTAGATTCTAGATCTAGACTAGACTTAGTTTTACCAGGTAATACATTTGATTTACAATCGTTGTTTGCTTTTCGTTTTCATGTTCCCTAGTCTAGGCTACATCTAAATCTAGATCTAGATCTATATCTAGATCTAGATCTAGATTTTAGATTTAGGGTAAATTTATAGAAACCCTCCCGTCTCATAAAGGAATAAAGGTTGGTGCAAATGGTCAAGGAAGAGTTCACGGTTCGATGTGATCCTGCCTAGAGCGAACGTGTAGGCCCTACCCACCCAGCGAGTGATGCAAGTTTAGGTGGCGAGCTCAGATGTGAGTGCGATGCGGGGGGAAAACAAACGCGTTGGTCAGTTCACACCCCGGTGTGATCCCGTCTGGGGCAAACATTGTACGCAGTGGCTATTGTTACAGCGAGCCGTAAAGATAGCCTCCCAGGCTATTTTTACGGCGTGCCATAAAGATAGCCTCCCAGTGAATCCCAGGCTATTTTTACGGCGATCCTCGAAAAGCGACCCTACTCCGCCTCTCATGTACACGACATGCCTCAAAGTATTAGATCTAGGCCTATAGAGGTATAGGAGGGGGGCCGTTCAAAATATAAACTTACACCTCAGAGGGGAAAGGGTGTCTTTGGCTTCTGTAAGAAAAGTGTAAGATTGGTGAGTGGGGAGGTTAACCAAATATGACACTTCTGTGAGATGAACGTTTTGCTCATGATTGAGAAGAAAAGGTAAAAGAAAAAGTGGATAAATGCCAATAACAAGACCTAGATCTGCATGATCACTGAAGATCCCCGTAGTTGTTTTTTTGTTTTTTTTTTGTTTTTTTTTTAATTATGATGAAAATTCTGTAGGTGGACATCTAATTTCTTAATGTTTCTTGGTAACTTTGCAACTGTTTTAGTTTTGTTGATCTTTTGTCTTGATTTCTTTTATTTGTGAGGCACGTACCTATTGCATTGACAAGATTCTCTATGTCTTCCACAATATGCGTTCTTTCTAGTCAATATGGTTTGATTAAATTGTATTTAAAACTGAAATGATATTTTTACGGCGGTCACAAACTGAAGACGTAGAACACGTTTTTCAGTCTTATAAATTCCGTCTTGGCTTGTAGGCCTAGTAGGCTACTACCGTATTTGTTATTTTATACTACCTTTTACTAAATGACTAAACATGTACTTTGAGCTGGTTAAAACCGAGTGTAAGGCACTATAATTAAATGTCCTCTGTTATTAGTATTATCATAATTATAGTCTTTATTCTGGACTTAAACAATTCAATGTTTTTATGTTCTTTACTAGATCTAGGACCTTATTGTTGTGGGATTCTTTCAAATAATAAAATAGATCGCATTTTTTAAGTTTTTGTGTTTTGTTTTCTGATGTGCTCATATTATTACTGTCCATTTTTACGGGGAACAGTTCACCCCAAGGGTGATTCTTTTTCCGATTCATATTTAGGGAAAAAAAATTATGCGGGCATAAGAAATAATGAAGAAAGTAAATATTGATAAGTTGGAAAATATGAAAGTTGCCATGGAATCACAGAATTGTGTAGCATTCTGTGCATGGAATGGATACAGCACCAACATGGAAAACAAACAATAATTTTAAAAAACCGAAGGCTATTCTTACTCTCTAACAAAATTGCATGAACATTGGTGGAATGGTAGATACAGATCATATTATGGTCAATCGTACTGAGCAAAATTTTGATATTTGAATGTAAAAAAATATATATATATGTATGTGTTCCTGTACCCTGAAAATGCACCACAATAATTAATAAATTAATCATTGTGAACACACAAAAAAGAATGTTTACACCTCTATCAAAAATCTGCTGAGTGCAAAGGAAGGAGGAACATTTTAAAGGCATTCCCAAGGCGAAAAGTGTTAACTCCAAAATGGCGGCTCTTCTTGTGGGTGTGGTACATGTAGTAATGTTGGTGAATGAGATGTTGATGCTGGCAGTGGCAGTGATGATGGTAACGATAATGACGAGGAGGTGATGGTGGTGGTGATGATAAAGAGAGAGTGAATGATGATGGTGGGGACAAGATTAAGGAAGAGGTGGTGGTGGAGGAAGGAAGAAGGAAGGAAGATGAAGAAGAGAATAGAATGATGGTGAAGAGGAGGAAATGGAAAACCTATGGGGCTGTTCAAATATAATCTTACACTTTTGGGGACTTTTTAAAAACAAAAAACCCAAATACCACTTTTCTCACATTTGCCTCCAATCCCCACCTACACCAATTAAATATTAGTACTTTTTCCGATCTTCAACTTCCATTATTATTTTAAAGATACCTGTACTATACGTGCTTGTCAATGCAATAGGTACGTGCCTTACAAATAAAAGAAATCAAGACAAAAGATCAGAATTTTCATCATAATTTCAAAATTATTTGTAACCCCCCCCCCCTCTAAAAAAAACAAACAAACAACCAACAACGAGGATCTGCAGTGATCATGCAGATCTAGGTCTTGTTACTGGCATTTATCCACTTTTTCTTTTACCTTTTCTTCCCAGTCATGAGCAAAACGTTCATCTCACAGAAGTGTCATATTTGGTTAACCTCCCCACTCACCAATCTTACACTTTTCTTACAGAAGCCAAAGACACCCTTTCCCCTCTGAGGTGTAAGTTTATATTTTGAACGGCCCCTCCTATAGGCCTAGATCTAATACTTTGAGGCATGTCGCGTACATGAGAGGCTGAGTAGGGTCGCTTTTCGAGGATCGCCGTAAAAATAGCCTGGGACTCACTGGGAGGCTATCTTTACGGCACGCCGTAAAAATAGCCTGGGAGGCTATCTTTACGGCTCGCCGTAACAATAGCCACTGCGTACAATGTTTGCCCCAGACGGGATCACACCGGGGTGTGAACTGACCAACGCGTTTGTTTTCCCCCCGCATCGCACTCACACCTGAGCTTGCCACCTAAACTTGCATCACTCGCTGGGTGGGTAGGACCTACATGTTCGCTCTAGGCAGGATCACATCGAACCGTGAACTCTTCCTTGACCATTTGCAGCAATAATTTCCTTTATGAGAGGGAGGGTTTCTATAAATTTACCCTAAATCTAGATCTAGATCTAGATCACTTCATCGAGTTTTGCAACGTGTATGTGATCACATTCACGATAGTGGTTGATCTTTGACGCGACGGACAGTTTATTGATCTCAACTTTTCACCCTAGGTTGATCGGCTGTGCCCGCCCGGGTTTTTGTTTAGCAAAGTATGATCTGAAATGCAGGATTTTAGCCGAATGTAGATCTAGATCATCAGAGCGGGATCTTAGGGTGACTTTTGTATATATATGAAAATTCTGTTTTCCTAAAACAACGGGACCTTAAGCGAACCGGGATCGTAAGCGGTAGGATCTTAGGCGGAGACTACTGTATATATATAATAGTCCGTGACATCCTCTACAATTAATTTCGGAACACTTTTGATCCACTGTGCTTTTTTTCCGAATCTTTTGAAATCTATATTATTGTTATTTTGCATTTCCCTTTTGGCTGGCATAACTTCTACTGCCCCATCCCCTACACTTTCTTCCCATGTTCAAATGTTGCTCACACGCTTCATTGCGCTGAAAGTTGCTCACACGGTTCATTGCATTGAAACTGAGACGTCAGCTGAAAACTTTTTCACAGTAACAGTAGATTCTAGTAACAATAACATTCAAGATGAAAGAAAACTAGAATCTGGGCTAAACACTAAAACAATGAAGAGGCTAGGAGATTAGACAGACTAGACGGCTACACACTACACACATTACTATTACACTATCGGCATGCAAAAGCGTAATGCAAAAATGTTCCATCACCTGAATACGTATTAGTATTACAACATCTGCCTATCGCCGCTTTTCGCATTTAATTGTTGCTTTTCACATTGATCCTCGATAAGATAAGGACTGGTCTCGAGGCGAGCTTATCAAGATAAGGTCATCCACCCCGGCCCTCAATGCCGGAGCCAAACGTCCGAGTTACAGGGCCTGACTGAGAAGGCCTAGGGTGGGGGACAACACAGCGGGCGAGTTAGCCCAGAGCGCATTCTTTCTTATCGCCAATGCCATGCTGTCAACATCGCTAGCGCTTGAGAAAGAAACCTGATTCGATTTTTGATCAAGTAAGACCTAGAGTAGAGGTCATGTTGAACAATGTCATGATCAGGGTAGATAACAAAAAGAAATAAACAGTACACCAAACTCATAGATTAGGCCTACTTTATTCTTTCCATTGAATTTATTACTGGATTCCTTATAACGAGAATCCTGGTATAACGGACATTTCGCACCGGTCCCCAATGTCTCGTTATAACAGGATTCCACTGTATTGTCTTTGCGTTTACTGTGTTTCAATTTCAAGCATCAGCGTTCTTAATCTTACTGTTCTGAGCATCAGCGATCTAGATTCTACCAGCAGGTGTCCATTTTCTACAATGCTATAGAGTAGGCCTAGATCTAGATCTGTATAATTATGTATGAAATATGCGCTGAACACATTTAAATCAACTTTATTTCCGTCGCAAATTAATAGTTTTTAATGGTTTTTAATCGAGCTATATGACACGAAACATAACTCACTTCGTAGTAATTTGCACACTTCGGACCAATCGGGCGGGGGTTTGAGGGGCGCCTTGTTTTTACCACTAATTTGATATTTTGCATAATTTAGGTTTAAAATTTTCTTGGAAATAATTGATTTGAGGCTATATTGGCAGCTTAATATATGTGTGATCTACAGCAAGATATTATTTAGATATAAACCTGCAGTTTGACTCCCGAAGCAGTGCATCTGTGTGCGGGAGTGAAAGTAAAAATGTATAGGTCTTTTTAATTCGTTTCAGCATGTATAACAGTTGAGCATGGAGTTGAATCTGAGAGTTACTGAGACTACCCATTTAATTATTTATAAATAATATTCTTTTTCAATTAAATGAAAGGTGAGATAGATGGGAAATAGCGGCCTAATGATTAATGTAATACCGTCGTGACAGTTACGCACACTGCTACAGTAAAGACAGCCTGTTACTGTTACAGACCAGAGTACTGTGACAGCAGGATCCATTGTCACAATGTTGTTATTGTTCAAAACCAAAGAGTTAAAATCGACTTCTCTTTGTAAAACTGAACCACTTTAAAAATGTTTGGCAGGGTCATAGGCCCTACACTAATCCACTAAGCAGATACAGTGGAGTCCGCTTAAAGTGAACCCTTTGGGACCTCAAGAAAGTGTTCACTTTATCTGAGGTTCAGTTTTTAATCATTTTGGTAGGGTGGAGGCCTAGAAACAGTAGCTACGCACAGTGATGGGTCAAGGGTGGAGGTGGGGTGGGGGGACAACACAGCGGGCAAGCCTAGACTAGAGGTCTTTCTTTCTCATTGAGATTGCCATCGCCAACGCCGAGGTGGCATTGTCTGCCTATGCCCGAGGCAAAGAATTTGGTTTTCACAGAATGGCGACAGTGACATGGTCGGTCAGTTCTTCGCTTTCCACTCATCTTGGGCGTTCACTTTATCGGAAATCGGTTCATTTTATCCAAAAGCGTGTTCACTTTAGGCGGACTCCTCTGTATTTAAAAATTGTGCTATAATGATTCATCACACTGGACACTGGTCAAAGTCAGTGGTTTTGCTGCCTCATGAGGATGACTCTAACTTTTCCTGTGCATCTACAGTTTCTCTCTCTTGACTCGGGCCCGACTAATCAGGAGTGAAAGATATTGCTGGGGGAGACCTTCCTGCAGAGCTTGACTTTCAGAATCAGAATGCTGTTTTTGAGTATTTTTACTCCCCAACACCAAAGCTGTGATGCACAAAGTGTTTGCTAAAATATGTTTTTAAAAAATTATTAACATGTCTTGGTACACATACCTCACAGTCAAAATTGTCCGAAATGGCCACCGATCATCCATGATAAAAATGATTGTATTAGACAAGGAAACATCGTGGACATTAGTTATGACGAAAGAACATAATAATTTGAGCACACACCGTGTTTCTTTGTCTCAGGATGAAGAAATCAAGCCACAACAAAGGTGCCAGTCAAGCCAAGGGTTCTGGTCAGAGAAAGCATGACAGGCGTTCAAAAAATCTCAACAAGCACAGCTCTGATTGGGAAACCCATAGAGAATTAAAAGATCTTGATAAAGATGAAACAGGTTTGTTTACTTCGCAAATGTAATTTCCATTCTATCACCTGTGTGTCAACTTTTAGTATGTCAGTTGCTATTTTTAACTCTGAATAATTGTAATTTGGCAAAAATGCACTTTTCTGTTGTGTAGCAGTGGGGGGTTACTGAACTTTTAGATGTGGAGGTTGGTATTATTATATTGTTAATGGTAAAAGATAAAAAGATTCTTAGGTTCTAGTTTTGGTCATTACAAAATCACTTGTTTATGGGGAAATGAGGCACTCTTCAACATTTTGAAATCGAAGAAACTGACATTTTTCCACCTATATTTGGCTATTTTTATTTTTAAATTTATTTTTGCTGAACCTTTTTACACTTTTTGCTCAACCCTTTTTACAGTACTAATTTTGTACTTGGTCTGTTCTTCCACCTTAAATAAAGGTGTCAAAACTACTTTGTTTGCTATGGGCACTGAGAGGGTTGGGAAAAAGTGGCCTGTTCTGCAGTGCTTTAAATCTTCCATGTTTTTACGGAAATCTGTGTACGTGCTCTCAGTTCCTTCAGGGGCTTCATCCCCTCTAAATGCCCTGGGACCAGATCTTGCTGGGGGCCAATGTTGGTGGGGGAAAAACATCTTTTTTTAGATGAACTTGAACTGCTTGATGCGATACCGATGGATATGATCTGAAAAAGAAGTTTTATGAGTGCTGTATAGTATAGTGCACACTATACATCATGATAGCTTGTCATTGTATGAAACCACAGGTGATTAAACTGGTTCTGTGATTTAGCATTTCTTAAAAGCAATATTAGTGCATGATCCAGGAGTTGCCAGATTTTCAGCTTTTTATAATCTGTGAGTCCTGAAATCCAAACATGTTTTGGCAATTGATTTTCAAACATTCCTCAGTCCCAAGTCAAGATTTTTTTTTTTTAGATAGAATCTATATTATTATGGTTAGAGGAAAAGTAATTAAAGTTGTTTGTCATAAAAAAAGTCTCATAGGACTTGTCAGTGCCCTGTTGTTATGCCATTGTAAGAAAATATATTTCAATATTGTCTTTGGAACAAGCAAAGGGTTTTGAAGTCGGATTGGCATTTTACCCTGCTCTCGAATCCACATTCAATGCTGATTTATAAGTGTCTTGAGCAACAGTCCATCAAAATGCTTAAATTCCATATCTCCAAATGTGCAGCTCGCAGTTGGAACTGCTGTGCCAGTGCGCCGCTGGCAGTGGATCGGGCACATTCATTTACGGCGACTTGGGCTTTATTTATTTATATGTATATTTGCCTCCAGATCTCGCTCACAGGTGTATCTCGGTCCCTCTCTCTTGCTCTTCCCCTGGGGGTTCCATATTAGGTTTTGTCTTGTTAGGTTGGGGGCTGGCTTCCTAAGCATGTGATCTGTTTATTTATGCATTATTTTTCAGAGATATTTTTGCATTTATAATGTTTGTTTTTCAGAGCCTTGTGGAAAGGATCAGATTGCTTCCATAGGACCTTTGGCCATGTGGGATCTGGAGCATTGTGATCCAAAGAAGTGCACTGGTAGAAAGCTGTGTCGTATGGGCCTTGTTCGAAACTTACGTCTTGGTCACAGATTTGGTGGAATCATTTTATCACCTGTTGGGAAGAAATGTGTCACTCCACAGGATAGGTATGGCTGTGCCTTTCTGTTGAGCTTTCATTCCCAGTTTTATTAGTGTATTCTTTATATACCATCGGTTAGTTTGTAAGCTTGCTCAGTGATGAGTGTGATGTTTTGGGGTTTTTTTACCGATCCGATGCTAAATTTCTATTGTAATTTTTTGTAATGATCACTGAATCACAATATAGTATAGGTCTAGCTTGTGGCAAAAGATTTGATATGTTGTGACCATCTCATGCCAAAGCAGGAATATGACACAATCTGTATTATTGTATGCTGTGCCAAATTAATATATATTGTTAATTGTTTTCGCGCTAGAGAAGAGAGTTTTGTGGGGGGGGGGGGGGAGTATTTTTAACTGAAGTCCTTGCAGTCTTTTCTAATAGGGTGTTTTTAGATTAATGAACAGTTTTGCATAGTTGTTTCTATTTTTATCTTTTTCTAAGTTATTTGTTATCTACAGTCTAGCACATACATAGTGTAACACACATAGGGAAAAGATCATCACATCCGAAATTTTTTTCTTTTATACACACTGCCTTTGTATTTTAAAAAATGTATAAATAAAATTCGTCAATGAAAAGATTTCGCTATGTGCGTATTAAGCTGTATTTTGTTGGAGTTCCTAAAGTTGTCTTTGTCATTGCTTGATCATGGTCCGCATTTTTTTGCACCCAGGAACATTATTGCTCAGCAAGGGATGGCTGTCATTGACTGTAGTTGGGCAAAGCTTCAAGAGACACCGTTTGCAAAAATGAAGGGTGACCATGCGCGACTTCTGCCCTACCTGGTTGCTGCGAATCCAATTAACTATGGGCGACCTTGTAAATTGTCATGTGTCGAAGCATTTGCAGCTACACTCTATATCACAGGTATAGCATTCATAATAAATTCTGACCTTTACAAGTCTTGTCAAAAATTCTTTATGTTTGACAGCTAAATCAGTAGTTTCAGGGGATGTGAATGAATATATATGTAACATTTCATTAATGTTCTTGTTGCATTTTAATATTAATAGGTAGAATTTGTCATCTTTTTTATACATATTTCATAGACAGGAAGAGAGGGTCTACCATTAAAACATCTTATTTCGTTATTTCATTGTCTGTGATTATACTCATTTATTGACACCATCATTGCGCCCAAGTGCTGTCATTTACTTGTAAATCTTTTGGGAGTGCTTATTTAGGCCACATATGGCCTAAATAAGGTAAGGGAGGGGGGTTTAGCTTATTTAGGCCACAGTGGACTGTGGCCTAAATAAGGTAAGGGAGGGGGGTTTAGCTTATTTAGGCCACACATGTTCAAACTACCCTTTTCAGGCAACTGAGTTCATTCCACTTTCATAATGGTGCACCTTTCTCATTTAGTATGGTTTTGCCTCAGTGTACAACTTATAAATCATAACCATAATGAATATTGTAAAGAACAAAGCACAAAACGCAAAATTTTGCTCAATTCCAATGGTTTGAATGAGGGCCGGATTTTTCCTTCATGGAGGGGCAAAAGCTAGGCTACCATTTTGGCACACTTTGGTCAAGTGAAAAGGTCAAATCCTCCGAATGGACTTTCGGGTTAAATTTGGGGTATAAAAAGCGTGTATACTACGTGGCTGAGTCAAAGTTACACTATCTTTGCCTGAGTGACACTCTCTCGTACTGTCTCGTAGTAGTACATGTAGGCTAGTAAGCCTAGTAGTAGTAGTAGTAAAGATCGTGTAGAGAATATTTGGTAGTAGATTCTATCTAGTAGGCAGTTTAGTGAACGTGCTCGCGGCAGGGCGAATCGGCCTCGATAAGCCCTGTAGACTTTTGTGATCGGCCACGAAGCCTCGTGTTTTGATGGGTCTAGATCTAGATCTAAACAACTCAGTGCTATTCGCACTGCTACATCCGACAGGCCTAGATCTACATCTTTTTAAAAGGAAAAGAAAGATCATCAAAATGATTGAATTCGCATGAAAATCGATTAGGTAGAACTAAAACTATTAAAACTTGCTTCTGAAAACAAGGCAATTTTTATACGAAGGCAATTTTTATACGAAGGCCATTTTTATAACTCGATGAAATAAAAACTACTGACTGTGTACTGTGTTATTCTGTATAAAAATAAATTATGAAACTTCAGGACGTAGATCTATTATTATTTACCAGCATCTTTTGACGCCTGAGCTGTAGAGGTTGAAGTTTTCACAACATTAATAGATCTAGTAATTGGGTTAGGTAATACGGCTTTCCGTAAAAAATGCATAGATCTACAAAAGCCGACCACCGAATTAACCGGGCGCCTCGGTCTCCCCTGCACTCTGATTCAATATTATATTTAACCCTAACTCTGGCAAGGGCCGATTAGATTGGCCCATTTCCTGCCATGAAACTGGCAGGGCCGATCTCATAGGACCATATAGTAAACTGCTGCTTCTGCCTTCCAACTAAATATTTGGGGCTTCCTAAAGTGATTTCTGATTGGCTAAAAGGCTAACCTCCAACCAATCAGAATATTTCTACCATTCTGGCTTAGGAGAAGAGTATTTTGCTTTCAAAACAGAGGGATGTTTTGAAAGCTTGTTGATCAGGTCACAAGCCACTAATGCCAGTGTAGATCTATCACTTGTGTGGGTCTAAAATGGCCAAAAATCGACCTTTTTTGGATACATTTGAAAGTGAATTGACTAGGGAAAGTAATTCAGACACTGTTAGTGGTGGATTTATTGGTGTTCATTCAAGATTGGGATTAGATCTGACAGACAATGGGGATACATTACCAGTTCTCATCCTGCCCCAACTTCTCTTTCAAATGGAACTCTAGATTCTACTACTTTGGGAGTCTAATAGGGGCAGAAAAAGGAGAGCTATAGAGTAAAGTAGGTTCCTTTTGCTATACTAATTATTACAGACTACCAGCAGATTGCTGAAAACCACATGGTTGTACTTAGAGTGTTTTTATGTTGAGTTTGGTATAAAATTAGCGAGTATCAGCTGCGCTCGAAACAGACCACATGACAAATTGAAACAGTCGTAACTCATTACCTGTTCTTCTCAAACCTATAAAACTATACATTTTCTGAAAGGTAATTGAAAAACCCATATTTCTGCTATCTCACATTTTTTATAACAAGAAATACATTAGATTGGTGAATATGCTAATGAGCATGTAAATTTTTTATGTCAGCCATCTTGGATTTCAAAGTTACATAACCCCTTGAAAATAAAATAAAATCATATGTTCAAGGGCAAAATATAAAAGTTCATTCAATTATCTTTCAGAAAATATATACTTTTGTTGGGTTTTTATTTGATGCAAGTCCATAAATTTGATTTGTAAAGCATGTGCACGTTTTGGCTGACTGGCCCTGCCATTCCTGTTGAAACCACTTGCCAGAGTTAGGGTTAAACAAAAATGCTAATCAATGAAAATTGCAAATTGATAATAATAGTATAGTCCTGTAGAGGATAGGTGGACTCCGGGGTCTGCATAGCGAAATACTAGGTTTTTTTAGGATGTGGACCCCGGAGTCACCGTAGTGAAATAAGGTTTGGTTTAAGTAAGGATTGGTACTAGGTTTTAGGACAGGTGGACCCTGGGGTCACCGCAGTGAAATAAGTAGGTTTCTTTAAAGATTGGTGGAACCCGGAGTCACCAAGGCCATAGAGGATTAAGAAGGTTTAATTAAGGATTGGTGGACCCCCGGGACACCTTGATTAAACCTACTTATTTTACTACGGTGACCGCAGGATCCACCTATTCTAAAACCTAACTAGTGTTTCGTTAGGTAGACCCTGGGGTTCACCTTAAACCTACCTATTTCACTACGTTGACTCCAGGGTCCACCAATCCTTAAAATTAAACCTAGATCTATCTACATGTACTTATTTCACTACATTGACCCCAGGGTCCACCAATCCTTAATTAAACCTAGATCTACTGATTTCACTACATTGACCCCGTGGTCCTCCAATCCTTAATTAAACCTATGTCTACTTATAATTTCACTACTTTGACCACGGGCTCCGCCAGTCCTATTATATAATAAACTTAGATCTACTTATTTCATTATGTTGACCCCGGGGTCCACCGATCCTTAGTTAAACCTAGATCTACGTATTTCACTACGCTGACTCCGGGGTTCACATCCTAAAACCTAACATTTTGTTAGGTAGACCCCGGGGTCCACCTATCCTTTTGGCTAGATAGACCCCGTAGTCCGCCTATCCACTTTCTTGATAATAACTGAAAACAATACATGCCAGTTGTCATTTATAGTGAAGAAAAATGAGGGGGGAAAATATAATTAGGTAGACTTTAATTTGTCCAAAAAATTGCAAGTGCAAGTGAAGATCATAAAATAATTTTGTTATTTTCTGGTCACCTTTCCAAGGACCTTAAATTGATTCTACATCACATGTCATGTACGATACGGCTGTGAAGGAAAATGGATGTGAAGAGTTTTAAAGAGATAATAATTTAACTTGTAAAGAAAACAATGCTTTACATTGGTTTGGTTATTTTGACTACATATGTGGCCTAAATAAGGTAACGGAGGGGGGTTTAGCTTATTTAGGCCACAGGTGTGGCCTAAATAAGGTAAGGGAGGGGGGTTTAGCTTATTCAGGCCACAGGTGTGGCCTAAATAAGGTAAAGGAGGGGGGTTTAGCTTATTTAGGCCATATGTGGCCCAAATAAGGTAAGGGAGGGGGGTTTAGCTTATTTAGGCCATATGTGGCCTAAATAAGGTCACCCAAATCTTTTTCAAGGACCTAGGCCTACTAACTCAGAACTAACAGCATGTTGTTTTTTCTCTGTCACATGTCATCAGAAAGAGATATTATGTAGTGTAGTCTAGTTTAAGACCTCGTGGAACCAGGAGAAGAGTCACGGAAATGGATGTACAGAAAAATGGGAAGACATGGAGTGACATCAAACGACTTGCCGGGGATAGGGAATGGTGGAAAGTGTTTGTTTGTGGCCTATATCCTGAGGCAATGATGATGATGTAGTCTAGTTTGAGTTTAGGTGAGACAAGCTTAAAAAATAAAATCACAACCTTATGGACTGTCAAGTTCCATATATGATGGTGAGAACATTACACAATGATAATGTATTGTTGCATGATACTATTATCTATCACAAAACCACTGGTGCATGATATGTTTTATCAACTGCTGTGTGTTTTTTAACAATAACAGGAAAATGACTTTTTATTGCAGGATTGATGATTGAGCAGATTTTAAAAATTTTCATTTTGAATGTCTGATGAGCACCTATGAATAGTATGAAGAACTGTTCCATCATAGTTAATTTCGTTACCTGTTACTCGCCCTTTTCCTATTCCACTCTGACTGACTTACTGATAAATATATTTGTCTAATTTTAAGCCTTTCACTTTTCACTTCATTTAATAAATCATAATTTTCATTGTCTTAAAATTGATTACAATATTATCAACTTCTGTAGTGGGGATTATTCAACAATAGCAAGAAGGTTGAAAAGTTCTGTACATCTTACTCTTGTCTTTTTCTCTGTTATGAAACCATTCTATGGCTTTGATTGTCCACAGGCTTTCCTGCAGAGGCTGAACACATTCTGTCAAAGTTTAAGTGGGGATCTTCCTTCTACACTTTGAATCAGGAGTTTCTAGACAGCTATGCAGCGTGTTCTTCAAGTAAAGAGGTGGTGGAAGCTCAGCAGAGGATACTGGCTGAAATTGAAGAGGCCAGCAGAAAAAACAAGCAAACAGGTATGATTCTGACGGATTTTAACATTTCCCATGCTGCCAGTTAAGGTAAGATAGGATAAAAAAATTTATTGATCTTCACAAAGTGAAATTTGCTACTGCATGGTAAATACACACTCATATCAACACACTCACACGTACACACTCACCTGTTTACGTGCACGGATGTGTGTGGAAGAGAGGATGTGTGAGGGAAGAGTGTGTGTATATGGGTGTGCACATGCGTGTGTGTGCATGTTTGTGTGTGGACTTACAAAATTATGTTATTATCTCACAGGTACCTGACAATGACTGAGTAGCTCATATTGATGGTGGTAACTCCAGAGCTAATGGAGGTCAATGATAGGAGTGTTGTATATACAGTAGTCTCCGCCTAAGATCCCAGTGCTCGAGAGCAAGGAAATGCGGGATCTTAGGCGAACCGGGATCTTAACCGACGAACCCAAGGAAGAATCTATGGTGAACCATGTTAAGGCTCACAATCGGTAAAATGGTCTCTCTCCGCTCTAAATGGAACTGACGTGACCCCTAGGTGGGTTTATGGCATATGGCGAGCTAAGAGTGGTTAACTTTGATGATCTATCACAGTGCATAGTGGGATGAGGCGTGCTATTTTCACTTGTTATCCTATGATGAGTCACAAGATCTACACTTATCCAGTTGCCCCTCCCCTTTACACTGTACCTGTCGAAAATTTATAGCTTTCCATCTCTGACCGTGCCCCCCCCCCCCCCACCGCCTTTGTCGTTACACACCATTACGTTGTGAACACACCAATTAAAATTCAGTCTGTCTCGCAAATTCGGGAGTACACACAACTGCTGCAATGGTCAGGGAAGAGTTCACAGTTCGATGTGATCCCGCCTGGAGGGAACGTGTTGGCCCTACCCACCCAGCGAGTGTTGTAAGTTTAGGGGAAGAGCTCAGGTGTGAGTGTGATGCGTGGGGAAAACAAACGTGTCGGTCAGTTCACACCCCAGTGCGATCCCGTCTGGGGCAAAGATTGTATCACTTCATCGAGTTTTACAACGCGTATGTGATCACATTCACGATAATGGCTGATCTTTGACGCGACGGACAGTTTATTGATCTCAACTTTTCACTCTTGTTTGATTGGCTGTCCCGCCCGGGGTTTTGTTCCGCAAATCATGATCTGAAATGCGGGATCTTAGCCGAATGTAGACCTTCAGAGTGAATCAGAGCGGGATCTTAAGGGTGACTTTTGTATAGTAAAAATTCTGTTTTCGTAAAACAGCGGGATCTTAAGCGAACCGGGATCGTAAGCGGTGGGATCTTAGGCGGAGACTACTGTATTTGGACCACTTAGACTGACTATGGTGCAAAGATATTGGTGACAGTGCAAATATAAAGAGCTAAGCAGGTCAACTTTATTGGTCAATAGCAGCACTGAAAAGGATTTTCGCAGGAAAAGAAGACTAGGTTTCTCCTTGAAGGGTATTTTTAAATGCTGCTACAAGTATGACAGATTTACCAAAGTTGCTATACATCTGTAAAATCCTTGATCTTCAGTGTCTTGACTCAAGGTTGAAAATGTATGTAAACCTCCAACACGCTTCCCTTCCATTGACAGCTCAGATAAGATCAGCGCCCTGGTTGCTTAATGTCTCTGTTCACGGTGGTCTACCGTATTCTGATAGAGTCAGTACGGTTACAATTCTGAAAATTGAAGTTTAAAATCACCTTCAGATGTCATGTTTTGCATAAGGTTTTCACATTTGTAAGTTTTTTTCGTCTCAAAAAGATTTTATTGATGACCATAGTCTGTGAGTGTCATCTTATACATTCACCCTTGTATAGATGATTGTTGTTGTTTTTTTAGTAGGGGTTTTACGGTGCTCACAACTGCATAAGGTCATATGAGCGCGCGAAACATAAGTTGGTTGCTTTCACAACATTTCATTGCACGGCTAGGTTCAGGTCAAGGATCAGATTTTAAAATGTAAAAACTTGAGGTAAAATAAATATCTAAAAATGGTCATCTGCTTAAAATCAAAATATATGTATTTACAATTTTCCGTAAAGGCCAATGGCCTTTATAAAATCAAGGATTGTATAGATTAGGGTTTATTGTTATAAATTGATGTTAACTGTTAGCATACACAAAATTTCAAGGTTTTTGCGTGTATATTGCAGGGTTGCATCAGAGAATTATATAATCTTTGACCTTTTTGTCCCTTTTTTCGTCGTTTAGATTGGACAGACATTGACCCAGATGTGGAAGTGTGCAACCCAAACAAACCGTCACTTTCACAAACCTCAAGGTTAGTTTGACAAGACACTTGGGATAGTTGTAGTTGTAGTAAATGTTTTATGCCCCCATCTGCACTATTTAGATCTGTCAGGAGGAGGAATGTTGCCTTGAAGTTGCCTTTCAGGACCATCTTGGGACGAGTGGGATACAGCATCCCTGAAGAAAGACAGAGGAACTTGATGAACTAAGTATCTTTGTGTGCAAAGCAAGAAGCCTTGCCATTACAATTTAGATATCGGCATGAAGACACTTGTATGGTGTAGTATGCGTTTAGTTTAAATATTAAAATCTCTCTGTCAAACGGGAACCAATATTTTGCCTGGTGTAATATGCATTTTTAGCATTTACTTTAAATTTTAAAACTGTCAAATGGGAGGGGGGGGGGGGCAATAGTGTATACGTTAAAACAGAAAATGAGAGGTCCAGTCTGCAGTTTTGAAAAAATGCATACTGAGACTTTTGAATGCAAAAGAATTATTGTGAATTATTGTTCCTATTAATGACTGTTAACATTAGACAAAACAGCATGAAATCATATTGTGCGTTTGTTGGGGGGGGGGGGGGGGGCTGTTGTTATAGAGTAAACATTTTGTATTCTAAGAAATTAGGAAGGGTTTGCCGAAAGCAAACAGGTATAAAGTCTGGCAATGGGCTTTTTCACATTGATCATTCAGTCAACCATCATGCTCTTTGACCGTGACTGTTATCTTTTTAAAAAATTGTTTTACTTTTTTTTTTTTTCGCAGGTATGAAGAAACGAGCAGTGACTCAGAAGACAGCAGTTCAAGCGAAAGTGAGCCAGATTCCGATGAAGCTGTTGGAAATGTTGCAGAAGAAGAGTTTTCTCAACAATGCAGTGTCAAAGACTCAGATTCCCACAAAAGTGATGATGATGTACCAGACAGATCTCTAGAACCTGCTGAATCAGAAAAGGAATGTGGAAATGTAAATGACAGTGTTAAGGTAGACTGTACAGAGCACAACTCAGGAAAAGACACGTGACATACAAAAAATGTGGGATGACTTTATATCTTGTTGAGAGGCTTTTTACATCCTATTAATCATAAATTGTGATATCAGTGATGAATAAATTGCTTTTAAAGAAGATGATTGTGTACCTATGTTGGTTTTTTTTGTTGTTGATGTTGGGTTGTTGTTGTTTTTTGGGGGGTGGAGGGGTGTCATTTAATTCACTCATGTATCCAGTACAAAAGTGACAAGTTAAGCTTTTGAAAAGCCCTTTTTCCGTTCATAACTATATATATAATATATAAAATAATAATAATAATAATAATAATAATAATTATATATATTATTATGAAAGGAAAAGGGACTTTATAGTGTAAAAGGATATATAGATGTCATTTGTATAGCGCAAATTCCTGCTCAACAGCGAGCTTTATGCGCTTTACAATCTATATTATCACCCCAGCAGACCTGATAACATTCTGAAACAATTTCAACTTCCTTGGAAACATACAGGCGGGATGGGATGCCCATTCACACCCGAGTGAAGTGAGGAAAATTCTTGTAAAGTGCCTTTCCCAAGGACACAACATCAGGCCTGAGCCTCAAAACCCCAGACTCTTATTTCACAATTATATGAAACCAGTAGCCTAACCACAAGACTACTGATGCAGGCAGAAAATTCACTATGCTTGTTTGTTTATGATAAAGAGAAGCCCACTGGCACTGGTACTAGAGTCAGTGGCATAGTGGTTAAGCTCTAGGCCTTTGTATGCAGAAGATGCTAGTGGCATGGTACTAAGCTCTTCACCCTTGTTTGCAAATGATATGAGTTTAATTATTCCATGTTTGAAGTTTTTGTTAGAGAGTATTTCGGCTTGTCCACTGAGATGTTGTATCCTTGTTTACCCTGGTTGGTCCTGATGGGCAAGGTCGAAGCAGCTCGCCTTCCAGATGTTCTTCATTGTGTGAATGGGGGCTTAAAACACCGACAATTACAACTTACTGACTGGGCAGTGATTATTAACCCTATCCGTGCGTCGTGTTTTACTATCGTATCCTTTACTCGTTAATCCGATCTGAGCTTTGCATGGCAGTGTGTCAAAATGATTTTTTGAGAAATGCTGAAAGTTTCAAAGAGATCTTTGTTCTAAAAGTATTCTTAAATTTGAAGAATACAACCCAGGGGGTACAAAATGACCCCAGGGCGTACGGATAGGGTTAAGGACAATACATATCGTCGGCAGAGAATTCTAACCGTCTAAATCCAAATTTTCTCGAATTGCTTTTTTCCTTAAAATAGATTGACATAACGAATGGCTACGTCCTATTAAAATCTAGAACAATTTTGACAAACAAAAGTCTTGTTTTAAAGAGAAATTCTAACCGTATATTCCGACTGACTTCCGTGACTGAAGAATTCTAACCGTCTAACTCGTTTAGGTAGTCCGCCATTGTGGATCACGGCGATAACGTTACGCTCTGAAGGAGGCGTTTGATTATAAATAAAATTCTTTTTTCCTTAAAATAGATCGACATGACGAATGGCTACGTCCTATTAAAATCTAGAACGATTTTGACAAACAAAAGTCTTGTTTTAAAGAGAAATTCTAACCGTATATTCCGACTGACTTCCGTGACTGAAGAATTCTAACCGTCTAACTCGTTTAGGTAGTCCGCCATTGTGGATCACGGCGATAACGTTACGCTCTGAAGGAGGCGTTTGATTATAAATAAAATTCTTTTTTCCTTAAAATAGATCGATATGACGAATGGCTACGTCCTATTAAAATCTAGAACGATTTTGACAAACAAAAGTCTTGTTTTAAAGAGAAATTCTAACCGTATATTCCGACTGGCTTCGGTGACTGAAGAATTCTAACCATCTAACTCGTTTAGGTAGCTCGCCATTGTGGATCACGGCGATAAAGTTTTGCTCTGATGGAGGCGTTTGATTTTAAATAAATGTAAAATCAGAAAAGGTTGCTTTTGTTAAAGGGTTGGTTGACTGTGTCGAGCCTGTGGAGAAAAAGGAGAGAGAAAGCAGAAGATCGTGGTCCATGAAGTACCATCTGCGAGTGAATGGGGCCAGAGTCAAAGAGTGCACGGTTTTCTTCTTAAGTCCTGTACTTTGTTACTAGTGTGTTCACATTGTTCTCACAGGTGGATTGGGTGTAGCAGAGGGTGAGGTTCCAGTTCAGAGAAAAAGGGTTAGGGAGGAGACTACAGCATCAAAGGTACTTAAACAGTTTCTTTGTGATCTGCCCAAGTTGCCGTCTCACTATTGCCGAAAGACTCCAGAAAGTTATACTTGGAACCTGTTTTCCAGAGCTTACAGGCAGTGTACCGCCGTTTGTGTAAAGAAAAGTATGAGTGGGGGGGGGGGGTACTTTCTACCTTCAAGTTTAAAGAGAAGATCAATGCTATGAACCTGTCATGGTTCCATCCTCGAAAAGATAGGTGTGGGCTTTGAGGAGGGGAATGTGGAAGAGGGAGCATACAAAAAAGACAATAGACAAGGAAAAATGCATGGGCAGCCCCAAAATCAAATACATGTATATCAAAATGGACCAGCAATCAGTTCTGCTATATCCACGCACCAATGCTTCTGCTTTGTACTACAAGACGAAATTGAATGTACACAATTTCACAGTATGAACTAGAGAGCAAGGACTGTGTATGTTATGTCTCAAATGAATGCGAAGGTGCTCTGACTGCAAATAAATTTGCTCCTTGTGTGGCTGATTTTTTGTCATCTGATTTGACTCCAGATCATTATATTCAGATGGATGTGGTTGTATCAGAACTGCAAAGTCACAATGAGTTCTGCACTGTTACATTTCAGCTCTGTCAATGGTAAAACTGTAACATTAAAATTCCTGGAGAAGGGCTATACACAGATGGAGTTGGACAGTGCTCACAGCACATCTACTACCCAACTGATTATGTCAGGCTAATGGAAGAAAGTAGGAAAGTGAAGCCATATGTAGTCAAGTATTTGACTCATTGTATCTTGTCTGATTTCATCAAACTAACCAACCAGAGTTTACACACCAGATGGTCAAATTAAATACAAACTGAGATTTGATGATGACTGGTCACATCTGCCTTTGAAGCGTGGCGAGTCCACAGACATTCTCCGTAAAGACATGAAGGGACTGCCTCTGTATCAGGGTAGAAAGTGTAATTCGTCCATAGAGAACTTTAATAACACATGCAAGAAATGAAGTATGTTGTGCCATCTGACTACCACAAGTTCTATGACAATCTAGAATTGAGTACGTCACCAGTGCGCAAGTCAAAACCCACGGTTAAGTCTAATTTGATATGCAGTGTATTGTGTTTTGGTTTATGTAGTTTATTTTTAGCCAACCAGAGCTTTAGCTTCATTGGGTAGAGCATTTTAAAGCCTCATAATGGTGCTTGGACAAGAGGATAATTCATTCCTGTTGACACTGGATGCTGCTATGGCATACCTCATCTTGATGACTTTCTATGTAAAATGTGTTATTTAATTAGGCCATACATTAGTTGGGGATGCATTATATGAGGTTTAGTTGAGCTTTAAAAAAATCATATTACTTCTAGAGTCTTCCAACCAAGTTAAACCATGTTTTTAGAGTTAGAAGCATTTCAGTTTCTTCCATTGGAGAACTGATGGGTCGCTTTTCATTCTTGCTCGACTTTGAGCCAAGACCAAAATCAACAAACCAAACAAGAATACGAGACCTTTTCTTTGCCGGTGATGCTGCTATTGTCGCTCATAATGAATCAACCCTACGAATAATCCTGTGTTTAAGTTTAAGAAGATTGAGATGGCTGGGCCATGTCAAGAGAATGGACGACAACCGGATTCCGAAGCAATTTCTCCATGGACAAAACTGAGGTACAAAGACATCTGCAAAAACAGATTATCTAAGCTTGGAGTAGATGTCAGCATCTGTGAAGAAATAACCGAGGACAGGAAAACATGGAGGAAAATGATAAATGAAAGACCTATTATGCTAGTGACTAGAGAGCAAGCACTGCGACAGAATCTGTACTTCAAACAGGAAAAATTAGCCATAAAAGAAGCTCCATGAAGACAATTCGTATACGGAAATTCTTCTCTGCCCCCCCCCCCCCCTCTCTCTCTCTCTCTCTCTGTTTCTCTCTCTCTCTCTCTCTCTCTGTCTCTCTCTTTCAGACCCCTTCCCCCCCCCCTCTCTCTCTCAGTCCCCCCCCCCCTTCTCTCTCTCTCAATCTCTCTCTCGCTCTCGCTCGCTCGCTCTCTCTCTCTCTCTCTCTCTCTCTCTCTCTCTCTCTCTCTCTCTCTCTCTCTCTCTCTCTCTCTCTCTTTCTCTCTCTTGTAGCTAGACAAGAAACCAATCCTTCTCACAATTTCCTTGAGAATGGAGGATCAAATAGATCTAGTAGCTTTATAGTAAAAACTTAACGACGCACTCAATCTGTCGACAAGCCCATTGCCTAATTAGAATTATGTGGAAATAAAGTGCGACGTTCAGTTTTAGATATAATGAAACAGTATTATTGTTAGATTCTAGATCTACAGTACTATGTAGTACTAATTAGAACTTTTATAGTAGGCTTCCTGTTGGATTGATTGCAAGTGTAGTCATTTCGAGTTGTTCGGTAACACTAACGTGTTACGATGACTGAGTTAGACGTAACGAAGCGCGTGGCGTCCCCGCCGGGTTGGAGAATTCTAAACGAACAATTCGTTCGTCGACACTTGGACGGTTAGAAATCCAAAACTGAGCGGTCTATCCGTATAACTCTGGTTTAGCACTTAAAATAATAAAATTTCGGCAATTTTGTTTTAAATACTTAATAGTAGAGTCATGTATTCCAGTCTAGCGCATTTAAAGATAGTAAATCCCCATAGGAGCCTTTGAATTCAGTTTTTTGTCTCTCCTGCAAAATTTACGAAATCGGAGTTGGACGGTTAGAATTCTCCGCCGACGATATATGTGTTATAATTAAATAATATTATAATTTTATAAAAGAAAGATAATTCTCAGAAATAATACAAAAATATATTTTTTAAACCATTACCAAGTAGCAACACAGTTTGGTTCTTCCTTTTCACAAACAGGCAGATTGAAGTCGAAATTGAATGGCTGTGGATAGTGCTAGTAGCA